CAACTACTTTACTTACTTACCACTTTGGTGTGAGACCATTTATTTTCGTCTCCTTGTGTTTGGACAATAGAAGTATCATCGCAAACCTAGTGGTCTTCTGATTTCCGCCTTCTCGCGTCAGGACTATTAGTTTCTCGACCAGTCCATAACAATAATTCAGCGACGAGTACATAACAATTTGGCGACGGGGGAAAACTACTATTAACCACACAGCAGCAACAACATAACAATTTACTATGGATCCTATTAAATTGGAATTATTGTTTGAACGACAAATGAAATTAATGGAAATGTTCGTCAACCAACAGACTGGTCCAGCTCCACCTTCAAGCAATCCCAATCATACCATGCTACCATCTGTCGACGGCATTGTGAACAGTATTTCGCAGTTCAATTATGACCCAGAGGCTAATGTCACTTTTGACACATGGTATCAACGTTATGAGGATTTATTCACTGTTGATCTCGCCTCACAAGACGATGCCTGGAAGGTGCGAGTTTTGCTACGTAAATTGGGTCCGGCAGAATATGAACGGTACTGCAACCTAATTTTACCACAGAAACCACGTGATAAGTGTTTCGATGATACAATAAAGATGCTGCGTGAACATTTCGGAGACCACTCCTCATTATTCAGTATACGTTATCGTTGCCTCAAGCTGGCAATGAATGAAAATGATGATTTTCTTACTCACGTTGGCACAGTCAACCGAGAATGTGAGAGATTTCGACTCAGGTCCTTAACAGATGATCAATTCAAAGCCTTGATCCTCATATGCAGTCTCCAATCTCCTCGTTTCACAGATATCCGAACTCGACTGCTCAATCAGCTAGAACAAAATCCCAAGTTAACATTACATGACATAGCTGATGAATATCAACGGCTGATTAATCTGCAGAAAGACACACACTTGGTCGAATCAACACCTCCGAGAAGCTCTGATATTCGTGCATTACGCAAGAGCAAAAATCTCTCATCAGCTACTCCTGACCCACCTACTTCTCCTAATGTTCCGCGGAAATCTACACATACTCGTCCAACTTCACAAAATACTGCAAAGAAGACCCCACCATCACCATGCTGGCATTGTGGCGCGTGGCACTTTGTAAAGTCTTGTCCACACAAAAATCATCGTTGCAGCAAGTGCAAGATCATCGGTCACAAAAATGGTTTTTGTCAGCCACGCAACCCAGATATCAAAATCCAGCAAAAGCTCAACAAAATGTTGGTCCTAAATCCCCAAAAAGTCATTGAGTCTACGCGCAACCCGTCAAGTCACAACACCAGCTATGCGGAAATATATTGACCTTCAGATGAATGGTCATGATACACGTCTGCAGCTAGATACTGCCTCTGATATTACTGTTATATCAGAGAAACTTTGGAATTATATTGGCAGACCACCTATCACCAATACTTCCCAGTCTCTTCTCAGCGCCTGTGGTGGGCGGCTCAAACTAATTGGTGAACTCAAATGTTCTGTTTCCTTCCGCACTACCAAATTCACAGGAATTTGTTACGTCACGAAGAATGATTTAAATGTTTTGGGACTTGATTGGTTCGATCGTTTGCATCTGGCTGATGTCCCACTAAATTCTCTACGCAATACAGTGAAGAAGCATAAAATGCTAGACAATTCCGGACGGAGCCGAAGCCGCAAACCCAACAATCAGACGAAACGACAGGCGTCAACAACAAGCCCAAAGGTCCCAGATAAACCCCCAGGTAAACATCCTACTAATCATTCATCTTCTCAAAAGGGGAGGTGATATGTATCCACATATATATATTTATGTGTGTGTGTGTATGTTGGTCTCTCTTTCTGTTTGTTCGGTTAGTCTGTGACCACTTCACTTGTATGGACTTGTCTCCTTTAATAATGTGTATTCTCCTTATATTATATTATATATAATATGAGTGTTTGTTGACAGTCCGTTGCTTGGTGACATATATCCATATATGTTTGTTGGCATGTCTGCTATATTCGCTATGTATAATTGGATCGACACTCCATTATAATTAGCCATTCATGTTAAGACTGTCTAATGATTTTTCCCACGCTTGTCTGAATTATTTATATATATTCGCATTCACAATTTGTGTGAACTACTTTACTTTACAACTACTTTACTTACTTACCACTTTGGTGTGAGACCATTTATTTTCGTCTCCTTGTGTTTGGACAATAGAAGTATCATCGCAAACCTAGTGGTCTTCTGATTTCCGCCTTCTCGCGTCAGGACTATTAGTTTCTCGACCAGTCCATAACAATAATTCAGCGACGAGTACATAACAATTTGGCGACGGGGGAAACTACTATTAACCACACAGCAGCAACAACATAACAATTTACTATGGATCCTATTAAATTGGAATTATTGTTTGAACGACAAATGAAATTAATGGAAATGTTCGTCAACCAACAGACTGGTCCAGCTCCACCTTCAAGCAATCCCAATCATACCATGCTACCATCTGTCGACGGCATTGTGAACAGTATTTCGCAGTTCAATTATGACCCAGAGGCTAATGTCACTTTTGACACATGGTATCAACGTTATGAGGATTTATTCACTGTTGATCTCGCCTCACAAGACGATGCCTGGAAGGTGCGAGTTTTGCTACGTAAATTGGGTCCGGCAGAATATGAACGGTACTGCAACCTAATTTTACCACAGAAACCACGTGATAAGTGTTTCGATGATACAATAAAGATGCTGCGTGAACATTTCGGAGACCACTCCTCATTATTCAGTATACGTTATCGTTGCCTCAAGCTGGCAATGAATGAAAATGATGATTTTCTTACTCACGTTGGCACAGTCAACCGAGAATGTGAGAGATTTCGACTCAGGTCCTTAACAGATGATCAATTCAAAGCCTTGATCCTCATATGCAGTCTCCAATCTCCTCGTTTCACAGATATCCGAACTCGACTGCTCAATCAGCTAGAACAAAATCCCAAGTTAACATTACATGACATAGCTGATGAATATCAACGGCTGATTAATCTGCAGAAAGACACACACTTGGTCGAATCAACACCTCCGAGAAGCTCTGATATTCGTGCATTACGCAAGAGCAAAAATCTCTCATCAGCTACTCCTGACCCACCTACTTCTCCTAATGTTCCGCGGAAATCTACACATACTCGTCCAACTTCACAAAATACTGCAAAGAAGACCCCACCATCACCATGCTGGCATTGTGGCGCGTGGCACTTTGTAAAGTCTTGTCCACACAAAAATCATCGTTGCAGCAAGTGCAAGATCATCGGTCACAAAAATGGTTTTTGTCAGCCACGCAAGCCCAGATATCAAAATCCAGCAAAAGCTCAACAAAATGTTGGTCCTAAATCCCCCAAAAAGTCATTGAGTCTACGCGCAACCCGTCAAGTCACAACACCAGCTATGCGGAAATATATTGACCTTCAGATGAATGGTCATGATACACGTCTGCAGCTAGATACTGCCTCTGATATTACTGTTATATCAGAGAAACTTTGGAATTATATTGGCAGACCACCTATCACCAATACTTCCCAGTCTCTTCTCAGCGCCTGTGGTGGGCGGCTCAAACTAATTGGTGAACTCAAATGTTCTGTTTCCTTCCGCACTACCAAATTCACAGGAATTTGTTACGTCACGAAGAATGATTTAAATGTTTTGGGACTTGATTGGTTCGATCGTTTGCATCTGGCTGATGTCCCACTAAATTCTCTACGCAATACAGTGAAGAAGCATAAAATGCTAGACAATTCCGGACGGAGCCGAAGCCGCAAACCCAACAATCAGACGAAACGACAGGCGTCAACAACAAGCCCAAAGGTCCCAGATAAACCCCCAGGTAAACATCCTACTAATCATTCATCTTCTCAAAAGGGGAGGTGATATGTATCCACATATATATATTTATGTGTGTGTGTGTATGTTGGTCTCTCTTTCTGTTTGTTCGGTTAGTCTGTGACCACTTCACTTGTATGGACTTGTCTCCTTTAATAATGTGTATTCTCCTTATATTATATTATATATAATATGAGTGTTTGTTGACAGTCCGTTGCTTGGTGACATATATCCATATATGTTTGTTGGCATGTCTGCTATATTCGCTATGTATAATTGGATCGACACTCCATTATAATTAGCCATTCATGTTAAGACTGTCTAATGATTTTTCCCACGCTTGTCTGAATTATTTATATATATTCGCATTCACAATTTGTGTGAACTACTTTACTTTACAACTACTTTACTTACTTACCACTTTGGTGTGAGACCATTTATTTTCGTCTCCTTGTGTTTGGACAATAGAAGTATCATCGCAAACCTAGTGGTCTTCTGATTTCCGCCTTCTCGCGTCAGGACTATTAGTTTCTCGACCAGTCCATAACAATAATTCAGCGACGAGTACATAACACTATTGTACTACCCAACACAGGAGATAAATTCAGACACCTATGAATAAAGGTAGCTAGTCTTTTATCACAGTTATAAAAGACAGAGCAAACTGGTGTGTAGTATACATATGTCCTTTGATCGCTAGCAGAATATCACGTCTACGCCATATGTGGCATAAGTTGGCAAACGCTAGTCGAGCCTTTTTTATCCAAGCTGAGATTTCGTTAACAATCACTCAATGCACTGAAGTTGATTGGAATTTCCAGATGAATGAAGTCGTCAGTATGGTCTACCACTTCACTTCTTATTTTCAAGGACGAGGTGAGTCTAAAAGATGGATATCCAAAATGATGTTTCTTATAGTAGATTTGTTCCTTACTTTGCGATCTATTTCTGTTGATATTCTCTTTCAGTTTTGGTGTGTTATAAGTGTGTGGTTGCTCAAGAGTTTTCACATATGTTCTGGATACTCTGTTTCATAGTTAAAATCATTTATAGTTTCAATTAGAATGTGAGTTTATAAATTGCATTGTGTGTACATAGGGTATGCAAAAATTGTATATGCGTAATTCACTAAATATTTTGCGTTCATTCTGTTCTAGTTTCGTGGGCAACAGAAACAGCACAGACGCAAACTATCTCCAATGAGCCCGTGAGTCTAATGTTTCTATACGTGTCTAACCGTTAAAACTTCAATAACATTTTTCACTTTTTTGCATATATTGCTAGAATCGCCTAGTGTTTAACAGACACAGTTGGTTACAACATGCATATGCTTCAAGTTTCTTACTAATGATATATATCTTTTTCTGTAAGGATCAGAAATAATACTATGTGGGTCATTTCTGACTGTTAGTCAAAGTCTGTCGTCTACAAATCCTGACTCCTGTCGCTCTGCGCTACGCAGGATATGGTGATATTCGTCTTACCTTTTCTACAGTCATTTTAAACACAGTGGTATGCCTTCTTGCATTGCTTAATAATGCGGCAATTGTCTGTTGTCATTCGGTAGTATCCTCACATTTGACCCGAATGACCTTGACTGGTCAGGCTATATAGAATAAGAAAAATTGTCTAGTTCACCTTGGTTTTTAATTATTCTTAGTCCATTCGAATTACTATTCGTAATGACAACCACCGCAATAGTATATCACTGGCACAACTATATCAAAAGCAAACGTGGGGAGAGGGAAACAACACTAAAAATTATGCAACGGTTTCCCTTTGTATACTGCATGACGTCAACAGGACGGAAGGAAAGTCGAGTAGAACTTTTGATGTGACGTGTCACCACTACAGAATGTCGTCTTCATCTTCAAATCATCGGAATACTGCTGTGGGGTGACCTGATCTATGCTCGTGATTACCGACCAAAGTATTTTCTTACTTGGGACCAACCTGGAACCACACCGTCTATTTTCTACACCTGAATTACCCGAGTCGAGGGAATAGTCCCTTGTTCACTGGAAGGTCGGAAGCATTCGTGGCGTCTTTCGAATGTTTCAATCCGGCGCTCTCCAGCAATATATCAAGTGGAAGACCTCTAGTTGTTGTCTTTTTATCGGTAGGTGGACGCCGGCGTGGTTGCTTTTTATTTTAAATCCCGATGTGGGAAGATTTTAGGCGTCTGACGATTTATAGCTCCAGCTAGTTTAGGTACCGACGTCTTATGTTCAGTCTCCTGTCATCTGTGCGTAAGAAGCTGTGACACACTTGGGAGCATCGCATTGTTCGAGACGGGAGAGTTTGGAATCAACTTGTGGTAATGAAGCACACGACACAGGTCTCTTTGGTTGGGAAACAGGTGTTACGGAAGTTAGTGAGTTTTCCCTTCCATGTTGGCTTGCTGTAGATGAATCTTTTTAGTATTTCATCTTGTTCACATCGACAGAAATACTGAGAAATTGCCTGTAACGCTCATTGAAGAAAATCTTTGCGACTGAACTTTGAATTACTTTCTCCACAAAACCAGTGATTCTCATGGACACGAAGAATAAGCTACCACCACTGGCTTCATCAATGTGTATTTATTGATAAATAATACTATAATAATAGTAAAGCTTTATTTCAGACTATATGTGTACATATATTACAGAAATTTTCAGCGTATTTATTTCCAAAATACTTCTTCTTCATACAGGATTTACATATAAAGCAATAATCTGAAGTACATCATTTGTCGTAGTGTCGTTGCATATTAAAAGAGAACTAATTCAGTACATTTTTCCTGAAGAATTGCATAGCGTTTAATGGAAAACTAATTAAATATATGCGCGAGTTCATGTAGTGGTCATTTGATACAATTACACGATTAAAACAATAAGAAATGTAGCAGAATTTAAAGATTTTCAAGGATTGAAGACAATGGCCAGGAAACAGATCGTTTATTTAACAAATGAACACATATTTATAGATTTTCATGTACATTATTATAGATTATTGTTAGCAGAAAAACACAGTCTTCTGATTGGTTGTTCCTCACAGAAACTTAACTTTGCATCTCTTTGTGACTGTTTCTTGAATGTCAGATCACCTATATGTTAACTGTATCCGCCTACGCAAGGCCTTTGTTCTCATTTTTCTCACAACCAATATTAGGGACATAAACATTGAAGTAAATTAATGTCTACCAATTTTGGCTAACAGCCAGCTCTCACCACAGAAGTAGTAGTTGATTGACTGTAGAGCTAGGTATGTCTACCGTAAACAGCATTTGCTATCTAGACGTATCATCGAACAGTTTACCTCACAGTTTTACAAATAAGAATTAACAGATCCCCCAGCAGCTTACCCCTAGACCACCTGATCGAGTCTGCGCATCAAGCTAACTCACAAACCTACTTCAAAGTCATATATAGAGAATACTCGGGAGTTTGGCTAACAGAGTAGACATCAAACTTCTTCAAACCGCAAATACACTGACAATTCACATGTGTAAGTCCTGAACTCTGCATACAGAAGAAGTTTTGTTCAATCACTACACTTGCAATGGACCTGATCTGTATTAACATGGATTACGCAATCTTTATTTCTTGTCTTTCTTTTTTACTTGTATTATTTTCTTGCCTCATCCCCTATTAAATATCTACCTTTCGACTTCGGTTAAATTCTACTCAACCTCATCAATTATATTACGTCGTTCAATTTGCTTGTTTAATTTTATTTTAGTTTCTACCCGATTAGCGCTCTTTATATTATATAGTCTGTTATCTTTGGAAACATTCTTTTCGTTGCTAAGATAATTTACCATATATATGCGAATGTACAGCTTGAGAATGACATCGCTGAAAGAGTAACTTTTCGCTGAACATTTTTTAAAATTTTGCATGACTCAGTGGGGGAGTTTTAAGATGTTTAAAGAATAGCACAAACAATGCACTAGAAATGAATCTCTGTTTGCGTTCACCGTATAATAATTGAATGAAGTAAATGTTAACTACCAATGTCCTTGTTCCTTTTGAATCAAGATACTACAATCCCTTCGAAAGTATCTAACTTGTGTGCTTGGTAGATTAATAAGCACGCTAGACTAAATAAACAGTACGCCTTCATCTCAAAGGGTAGAATGCTGGCTGACTAGCTCTGTTCCTTACCGACTCACTCGTTAACCTCGCCTAACCGGTATGAAGTTCGAAAAAGAGGAAATTGTTCGGCGTGAGGCTACCAAACCTCATCTACCCCATAAAATAACACAAGCTCTACCGAAACTTCAAAGCTTTTAAGTTTTCATTAAATGAAAAATCCCCATATTGAAATCAAAACAAGATTTTGAGCGAACAATTGTTTTCGATAACTTCTTCAGGCTCTACAGTTATAAATCCATGAATAATGGAGTACATATAGCCAATAAAGGCAAATGAAAATAATATCAGAAACTGTATTGGGGTGCATGTGTAAGGCGAGATGATGATAGTCCATTAGTTAGCATAGTCAATTAAATGTGTATAGGGTGTTTAGTCAGAAAAATGTGATGAAGTGTGAATGAACAATTGGGTGATATAGTGTTGTTTTATAGTCAACAGAATACAAGTGTCGTCACTGGGGTGAGAGAAATGCGGTAACCACCAAATACATACAAATACACATATTAACAAAGGGGATACTGAATGTGAGGGCTGACCGATAATGTCTAATGATAAAATAAAGAGGCTAAATTGTAATAAGATGTTACAGAATTCGTAGGCTTAGTACAAAGTCATAAAGGTTGACAAAAATTAAGGGTGACAATGAGGTGAAATAAACTGGTCGGAGAAATGGATAATAAAGACATGATATCTCAAAATGATAATAATGGTACGAAAAATTATGATCCTGGTGACCTTATAGAGTGGGCCAGGGTAGACAAAGAGAGTGAATAAGTTTTTTCTGTACACATAGGTCTGGTCTCCCTCTATTAATCTCTATAGCCTCAGTTATGGCTAGGAGGCGTAATCGTGTGCCTTTGGGGAAATTGTTCGGTACTCGATACACAACTGTAAATGACTCATCTACTTTGATGCTGTGTTCGCTATCCACTAGATGAGACAGAATTGCACTATTTAATGATTTGATTGCTCTTTTCCCAAGCCAAACAAGAATATGTTCACGAGTGCGTAAAGATAAATTCCTTTGGGTCCGATGTATATATAACTAGCTCCACAGGAGCAGTTGAATTTATATAAACACATTGATGTCGCCATTTTGGGTAATCTATCGTTAATGCACAGTGTCAATATAGGTTTGGTTGAGAAACTGACATGCAGTTTTGAGGCATTAAAAGTTCGTTCAATTGATCTCGTTAATCTACGGTTTTGAAACCTTATGTTCCACTAGGAATACGAAAGGATTAAAAACATGTGTATAATCGGTTTTTTTGTTTTTCTCTTCTTCCCCCCCCCCTTTCAGATTACAGTGCTCACGACTACTTCTTCAAAGGATTTTATTGCAACTTCAACAGTCAATGGAGGGATTACTATATGGGATTTATCATATTTTAATCGAGTGAGTTAGCTGATTTATTGTGTTTTTAATTGTATGTGGTTACTAGTTGCATTTTAAGACCACTTAGTTGCGAAATATGTTGAGTGTAATTGTAGAGAGTGTTTGTCATCTGTCTGAAGCAAATGTTGATGACTGACTGATTGACTGACGGGTTTCAACATAGAACTTTGCACAGAAGTACAGCAGTTCTACCTGTCACACTCCCTTCATGTAGCACACTAAAAGAAGAATAATGGACTTTTCTTAGTTTACGTGTATCCAGCAGCATACACCAACAACCTAACCAGGGATCGAACACGCAGACTACAAGTTATGAAACAAGCACGTTTACCATTTGGTTACTACGCTGCAATCTAGTGATCCATGAATTCCAACGTATGTGGAATAGGCAAGACCATATTTCACAGGTCTACAAGTTGGATTAGCTTACCGGTGAAAACTTTGAGTAATGTGGCCTAACATAATAATCAATATGCCTTAAACATAAATGCATAGTTGTTTAATTCTTGTTAGACACAACTGTAGGAAATCAACAGAAAGCCTTGATAGACCTGGGTTTTGTACTTTTCGGCACTCTTACCAATCTACAACCCTTGAAGAACTCATGTCCCTTCTGAGATTCGAACTCGTGTCACCTATTAGTAATACAGTCAGAGATGCTATCACTGAGCTATTCAAACTCGCGACTGGTCTCCGATACGACTGTAATGGATACTTTGATTGGACACCAGGTGGTGGTAACTGGTATCATGGATCCAATCCTTCGATTGATTCGGAATGAATTCTATCAGTCATGCTTAGAATGTGACCAGCATACTAGATAACTGGCCATCACGACGCACCTTGAATTGTTGTCAGATGGTTGGAGGCAATCAGCAGTGTCTAAAGAAAGTATCTATTACATCACTATAGGAGGTAGATATTTTATTATAACACTCTTCCCTACCATTCTAAGTTTTAGTCTTTGCTTAAATCCGTTTTTTTTATTGTTCTTTAATCTTTAGCGCACTTTGGAGTTCAATCTTGTGGACGTATTGAATGCCTCCATTCTCGATGTCAGCAAACGTATGTTGGTGTAAAGTATTTGTTTATGTAGACATTAGATATTCTATTTGATATTATATATCAGTAAGTAAAGCAACCAATAACTTATTGCTCAGTTTTGAATAGGTCTTCGATAGCCTTGACCGCGATGTAATTTGGAAACTATTTCAACACTGGGGTGCAGTGCCTCAAATCTTTATCACCCTCCCTAAACAGCCATATGCCAATGCCACGTATCAGGGTATCCATAACGTAGAACTTAGGAAGGCTTTTGAGGTGAATATAGGAGTAAGACAAGGCTGACTACTATCACCGATGATATTCCAAAGCTTGCCGACTGTATTATGTGACAGACCGTGCGTCGGAGTGGGGGTGGGAGGGGCAAGAAGACAGGAATACGTTGGACCGATAGGAAGACTGTAGAAGATCTGGATTTTGCGAGTGGATGATTTATGTTGCATGTCATATAAATTTAAGACAGAGTGGAGATCTGTTATCGAAGGCCTATGTTCCAGTGGAAACCCTGGGGAACAATCATAAATAATGAAGAAAAAATTATTTATTTAGATTGTTATTTACGGTGACTACTTCCCTTTTCAGTTTAATTATTTATTTATTTGCCCGACGAAGTTACATTACTGTGTAATCATCCTTCCACTTTTTCTACTTAGTCTCAAGGTTAGCAAACGCAGAACGTTGTGCGAGGCCTGGAATGGCATTCATGGCACACATTGCAATATGACAAGACGATCTCCACCATGATCAGACACACATCTCCGGATATTAGGATTACTTACATGGTGATCCTATCAGGTGTCTGAGATTCCACAAAGGCAGCGGTGATCGAATATTCAGAGTCTCTCTGTATATCGTCAGCTCGAAAAGACTAGTTTTAGTGCAGGTGTATAGCAAGACTGCACACAACGTAACATTGTAAACTCAACCTTTGACACAGCCAGATTAAAATTGTGATGGTATCAGAGTTGGTAGTGTGAGCAGGTGTATGTTGCTCTGGATTTCACCATAAAGTTAGAGATATCACCTGTCACACATCGCTAAGCACCCATGTAACTTCCGGTGATCCAGTTGCGGCACTGAGTAGAAGTACAAGCTCCTGCCAGTCTTCAATCTATACTTCGCGCATGTAATTTCCTGAAATATAGTCAATATGTTCAATGTGTTTAGGGAAGTGTAGCTTCTTCCACCAACTACTGTTTTTCTGTCTACTAGGCTCTGGGCGACATTTGTGACCTGTTCGTTAGACATAATAATATTAGTTACTGATGTAATTACGGAGTATACTTAATGTATTTCTGGTGTACTTAGACGAAATAGGCGAGTACCAGTGGTGTGATGGTTCGATAGTTATTTTATTTAATCACCTGGTTACGTTCTCTTTGAAACCTTCCAGACTAAAGCGAATAAAGCAGTGTTTGAATTTAAAAGTGAGTGTAGAAATCCAACTTCTTACGTCATATTCAAAGATTTGACGCTTGTTGGTTGTAATTTTGTTAAAGTAAACCGAAGCCATGTGATTTCTATTCGTTATGGAAGCGTTCATGGTGCCTGACTTCGTGATGGACTGCACAAAGATTTTGAAGAAAGTGACTACAGTTGTAATTAACTTAATATATTATACCGATAGTTAACTAACCATAGCCTTAGATAACGATTTTGTTGTGTGGTAAATTGGTGTAGAAGTTGGGAAGCTTCATCTACTATATCCAAACATTGTGAGTTGATTTTAACATTATGAAATAGCCAGCTGTCTTTGATCATAGATGCCTGTGGTCTATCTCCCGTGTGAAATGGTATAATATAGTAAGCAATATCGAGGTTAGGCGTCGGTCGAGTGCTAGATAGGTGGGACGGGGCTGTGAAGATACATCGATTGAGATGGTTGAGACATGTGCTACATATGCATGCCTAACCATCGCCTTCCTCGACCGACGGGTAATGTTAACTGATGTGGGATCGATCAGGTTGGAGAAGAGCCAGTGGTGATCAAACCAAAACATGGCTTCATCAGTCAACGAAATCTACAACAGTTAGTTTAGGCCAGCCAGCCACGTAGGAAGGTGTAGACTTCCTGACTGGTTGGTGTCCTTAGGACGGTAAAAACCAATGAAGGCTGGAGACAATTGGTGATATGACTCAAAATCGTTTTCAATGGGCAACTTTTATTATGCTAGATGGAGTGTGAAAAGTTGAATTTCTGTATCTTTGTGCAAAGTTCTATGTTGAAAATCAGTCAGTCAATGGTAATACAATGTGATCACTAATCCCTTTAGCTTCTATTCACTGTTATTTTGATAGTGCTTATTATCCTAACGTCGGTGATCTATTATTAGTAGAATACTCTCCAGCCACGTGACACACTCCTAAACGTCGCCTAAGTTTAGCTTCAAATTGAAGTATGCGTACTGAAGATGTCGCCTAGTAGGTGGGGCGATGAAAGCTTCGCAAATAAACTATCCAGCTCGGAGAACACAACCACATCAAAATCATCCACTTGAGCTACAAATCTTCTCAATCATATCTAACTGATAGTGTAAGCCTGGAAAAGAGGGAAAATTTGGATGTGTGTGTGTGAGGCTAGTCAACTACACCGCTGTAAAAGGGGAATACCTTTGATGCTAAAACTTCAAAGTTTACAGGCTTTTCGCGGACTCCACTTGGAATCCAAAGGAATAACGAAACATAAATAAGTGCCAGTGGCTTAATGGTATACGAGCTCGTCTTGTAACCAGAAGGTCCTGGGTTCGAACTGTGGCGGTGGGTGCGTACTGCCGAATAGTCCCAAACTAGGACGAAGCAGCTGTCCAGTACTCCCAGGCTTTTTAGGCGTCGGTGGCACATCGGTTAGGACGCTCGCAGACCATGCACATGATCCAGAGTTCGATCATCGGCCATGGACGCACTCCTTTACCTGGCTAAGCCAGAAATAATTCTGGTAAAGAGGAAAGGTTGGGCATGAAGCTAACAACCCCAACCTGTAAAAAATAAACACTACTACAGAAATTTCAAGCCTGTACCTTGAAGCCCTATGTTCCACCGGGAACGTGAAGGACAAAAAATGTAATTCGTGTGTAGTGGATTTCGTCAATTCGGTTGTTCAGATTTATGCGTCGTTTTGTTGTTGTTGTTTACATATCATCTTTAGCTCTTTTTCTTGCTAATACACTGAATAGTCAGTCAGTTGCCTAATTGAATTTCGCACAATCTTTTTCTTTTATCTTCTTCTGTTAAAATTATGCTTCTATCAAAATTTTAGGCGTCAATAAATCTCAACTGGAAGTACACTGTGGTTGTCTACTAGTATCCAATGCTGCCTACCTGCCTGAATTAATCTGTCTTCCAAAACCACCGAAACTGCATCATTTAATATTGGCGTGTTGTTTACCGAATTCTGTATATAACGAATTAAAGTGTACTTTGAATAAAAATTCTTCTACGACTACTACTGCTGCTACTGCTGTCAACAGTTTTGGATCGCATAAATTATGTCTCTTAATTCTACAATTAACTCCATTGAATAGTGAACAATTAATGTGGTTATCAGATACTTTGTCAGCACCTACGTCAGTGAAATCATTCGTGTACTCGTCAACAATTTCTGGTGCAAATATATTCTCTCTTCATTCAGTCCCAGTAAATCTAATGAAATTCCTTCCATTGATTGGAACTGTTGGGCATACAGTGGAAGATGATGAAGAAGAGGACGACGACGAGGAGGAGGAGGAGGCAGAAGAAGGTGGAGATGATTATGATGGTGTTAATGGGGATGGTGATGATGACGACTATGACGATGAATTGGCTGAAATTGATTCCAATGAGACTGAATCACAGAATGCTAACCTTCTAGTAGACGATGTAACACTTTCACCACCGATTAGTTCCGGTGAAGCTACAATGACTCAATCACCGTCTACTTCACAGGTAAGTTAGAGAAGATGTCTAGCTCAGGTGGAATATTTTTGATTCGGTTATGTTCTTTGAACTGTGGAGCTTTCATTTTACTCCTAGATGATATATTTAGCGCAAGTCTAAATATAAGGTGAACAAAGAGTATCGAAAGGGAAAATTAAATATCATTCATGGAGAATTAGAATAAGTTCACTTTATATGGAAGCCTGTGCTGAAGAAGGACAACAAAGGCTTCACAATTAAATCAACCAGCTCAGAGAACACAAACAAATCAATATTTAATAATAATCTGCTTTATTCCGAAACAGTACTTGTGATACAGGCATGGAATTCTCATCATTTTACTCTAAAGTATTGAATCCAGTTAGTACATTATCAGTAAATAAAATTCTACATAGATTAAGGGTAATCTCAGTTCATTATGACAACAACATATTGGCATATCGGTAGCAAAGCCCAAATTGAACAGTGTTCGAAAAGTAGATCCTAGCATATTTACTGACGTAAGCGGTAACAAAAGGTCGAGATATACAGAGTGTGAAAGAATGGAAAAGAATATTTTAAGTAGAGTTTATAAGGAAGAGAGAAACTAAACAGCACATAACAAAAAAAAAGAGAAAAGAAAGAAAGAAAACGTTGTACCAATAAATGATATGAGTTGGAAAGACGAGATCCAATTGTTCTACTGACTATTTAATAAGTTATGGGTATCACGTCTAGCGTTTTTTTTATCGCACAGAACACGAGCCAAGTAGGGTATGGTTGAGTTTTTGTACTCCATAGTGCGAGCATATAGTTTTCTGTATAGGCAGGCTTCTGGTTCTGCCTGATGAGATACAAGGGGGGGGGGGAGAGTTGTGAATGAAGAGGGTGGTGTGACTTAGATAAAATGGATTTAGCCCATTTTCCACATGAGTCACATGTCAGCTTTATGCTGAACAGTGTTTATATAATGTACACAATTTCCAGTGGAAATTATTGCATAAGACTTCCTCCCTATCCAGGCTCTTCAAGTAAAACAATAACTGACAGTGAATCGCTTGTGACACATTGCTGTTTGCGTTTAGACCTGAAGCGAAAACCAATATCTTATAATATTCTTTTTTTTGCCTCTTTCTTGAGAAAACGGCACAGTACATTTGTTTGAAAGCCAATTAATCAAGGTGGAGGAGTACATGTTTTCACCAAAGGACAATTTTTGAATGACTTAAGATTCTAGGTAGTTGTATTTCTCAGACAGTGGCAGCAGCTTGTACCAAAAATCTCAGGGTTAGTTGCCACTCACGATTTTCACTCTTTCTAAAGTTTAGTGGAAACTTTTTGATTAGCAAGTTGTAGAGATTTTAACTGACCACGAGAGTAGAATGCACAAATAAAGATCATATATTAGTAGATTAAAACGAACTGAACATGAGAATTTTATGCAGTATTATGATGAAGTATTTCGGTAGCCCAGGTTTCAAAGAAGCCGCCTCCGATTTATATATATATATATATATATATCACGTTAAGCTATTGAATGGAGCCCGAACGTTAAATGACGCGTTGAGCCGCAATCTACGAATGTTTGGCATGCGATTCGCTCCGCCAAATGCAAGATGATGTTACAGGACTGGACTACATCGCCGCCTAGTTTAAAAATAGGAAGTGAAGTGGTAGAGCACGTTGACCGCTTCACTTATTTGGGAAGTACTATCAGCCAGTGCCAACGGGCTGATCTCTGACGAAATCTCAGCACGAATACAGGACTCGTTTCGCATTTACCAGTTTACGCCGACTCTGGCGTAGACGAGATGTTCGACTATCGACCAAAGGGCGGGTGTACTGCTCATCAGTCCGCTCCGTCCTCCTTTATGGCCAGCTGTGAAACCTGGCCACTGAGAGTGGAAGTGGCATAATAAGGTGAGCAACATTGAGGTTAGCGTCGAGTTCTAGGTAAACAGGGAAATCAATCGACGAAGTCGTGAAGTTACAAAGACTGAGATGGTTAGGACATGTGTTACGTATGCCAAGCCATCGCCTCCCTCGACAATGGGCAATGTTAGCGGATATAGGGTCAGGCTGGAAAAAGCCAGCTAGCGGTGATCAAACAAAAACTTGGCACCAGTCAATGAAATCCACAACAGTTGGTCTAAGCCACGTAGGAAGGTGTAGACTTCCTGACTGGTTGGTTGAGGTCCTCGGGACGGTAAAATCAATGGTTGGAAACAATTGGTGACATGGCTCAAAATCGTTCTCAGTGGCTAGTGCAGATGCATCCACTCCTTGTGACTTATGATTTCCAATGAAACTGTTTTGTTTTTCGTTATTACTCTTCCTTTGTCTCACACCTCTGCTTACTATTTCTATTATGCCTTTCTTGTACTTTCTTCTCTTGCTTCGCGTGCTACACGGAGTGTGGCGACTTGAACTTCCGTACATTTGTGCAGAGTTGTATGTCGAAAACAGACAGACAAATGACGCGTTGGGTATCTGATGGTGACACAAAGAAGATCATTTGAAGAGAAAACGAAAGCTTGTAAGCAGTCATGGAGTCAGCTGATTGTGGTGGCATAGGACTGAATGCAATGGAGATGTCTTGCTAAAGCCCATTGTTCCACATCACACCCAAGGAATAATATACATTAATATTATTGTTCCCTTGGGTTCCTAGTGGAACATAGGGCTTCAACTGAACGTCTCCACTTGCTTCTGTCTTCCTTCTGCTGTACTTTTCACCTGCATCCATGTTAGTCCATACTGTTTCAAATCCTCTTCACAAAATCTCCTCCATGTCACCCTTGCACTGACGTCCCACTCGCCGCTTCCCTTTCAGCCTGGTTCCACTCGAGAAATGGCCTGACGCGCGCGCGATGTCACCCAGCGGCCTCCTCAGCGAGCAAGTTTCCAATCCATCTCCACTTTCTCCTGCATATTTGTTGGTTGGCGATTGCTTCTTGTTTTGTTTTCTTTGTTCCCATAGTTTCTTGTTGGTGACTGTTTCCGGCGCAACCATCTGATCTTCATTCAGTAAAGAGCGAAGACAGTTAGTTGTTGATAAAGGTGTGCAATAGCCAGTCTGTTGGAAATATTCTTTGTGACCCTCCCGCCCACCAAGTTTCTGATCCGATCTATATAGTAGAACTGACTAGACGTTGTGTGTATTGAAAATCCTACCGAATTTTGTTGTTGATTCTGGCTGAGTGACGAAGATTTCCAGATTGGTTGTTTCAGGTTGATGAATGTGTCTTTCGCCTTCCTGATTCTCGATTTAAGATATATATATATATATATATATATAAGGAAGAAATTGGATAGAGGTTACTTCCTTCAATTACCTAAGAAGTATCGTGTCAACAAGAGTCTGAACAGATGAAGATACCGAAATCAAAATTGAAAGGGCAAGATACACCTTCATCAACCTGAAACCAGTTTAGAAATCTTCTGCATTCCGCCTCAGAATAAAGAACAAGATTCGGGTTTTCAAGACAACTGTGAAGTAGTCAGTTCTTTTATATTTGGATGATAAACGTAGTCCACACGTCATGAAAAGCATGTTCAATAGATTTCAGACTTTTATCAATAACTACCCTCGCTGGTTCCATATTGAAGAGCAAATAGCCAGCCAGAAAGAATTAGCGACGAGAAACCCGGGGAAAATCCTATCAAGAACCAATCGCTCAACAAATTCGCTGAAGAAAATGGAGATGGAATGGACATTCTGTGAGGTGACCATCGGGTGACGTCGCACGCCAAGATATTGCTTGAATGGGACCCGAATGGGAAACGATAAGTTAGTTTTTCTCCTAGGGTGACTCGAAGGAGATCGTGTGAGGAGAAGATGTGAGCTTATAGGCAGTCATGGAGCCAGCTAAAGAGGAGTGTGGAGAATAGGGCAGAGTAAAGGGAGGCGTGCTACTGAAATCCTACATTTCACTCGGAACCCAAGGGAGCAATAATAATAATAATATGCATTGTGTGCAGGCTGAATTCAGTGAGTCAACTTCTCAAAGTGGCGCTACCATTTTAGGTTCCTAGCCATCACGATGGTCTCTGAATTGTTGTCATTAGATGGTTGGATGGTATCGGCAGGAAGCTTTGCTTATCGCCACTCTTCACAAGGATGTTATCTGTAATCCTGAAGGAACTAATGTCCTTTCTGTGATTTAAACCCAGTGGTGTAGTCAGGGACATAACCACTGTGCTGTTCGAGTTCGCGTTCGACTTGTACTTATTTAATTTGTCGTTTTTGAGGTTTAAATGAGTCATTATAGAATTTTCAAAAGAATGGATACTGAACAAAGAGTACTCTTTTCGATAACCCTTTCATCATCAGGCTCTACAGTTATATATACATTATAGTGAATGAATGAACCAGTGTTCTGAAGAACATTAATGCTGTTTAAATAACATCGAATCAATAATATTGATAGATTACAGCTCAATAGAATCAACATAAAATAAGCTGAATGTCAGAAAAATTAGGAAAGATGATATTACAAATTCATGAAGTTATGGTCTCTACTGAAGGCCGGCCAGGGCAGTAGTAGTGCCTAGCTGGACTTGCTTCTTTTGCACACAGAACACAGGTGGTTTGAAGCGAACTGCAATAGCCTCTGATGTTTGGAGCATGGGGTGCTACGATGATTTTTGGCAATTTATTAGGCACCCGATTGATGATGATATAAAGGATTCTTCCATGCTGGTTTTGTGGCCGGTTACACAAGATGGTTCAATATCGAGCTGTTAATGGTTTTAACTACACATTTACTTAGCCATAGTGAAAGATGTTCTCGAGAGTGGACAAAAAATCAAGCTCCTAGAGCGACGGCCAATGTAACTCGCTCCACCACAAGCCCAGTTGAATTGGTAGACACAATTTGAAATGGCCAGCTAGTCTAGGTACTTCATCTTTCAATCGAGTTAGCAGTATCGGTCGTGTAGAGAATAATAATCCTTATAATCCCGTGAGTAATATTTTTAACTTAATAAAAAAATTGTTAGTTGTACAATAATTTTCTATAAGAATATAAATATTTTGTATGCTTCAATGTAGGTGGATCTTAATCAACCTGTTGAAGATGGTCTATACAAATATCTTGCCTTGTCTAATGTCATCGATGAATCAGTCTCTTTCAAAGTTATGGATTGTCAGAAGATAACTTCGAATGATAATAATGATGCATCAAAGTTGAAGTCATCATCGAAGCCTTTTTTTTCATCACCGTCACAGTCACCATCGCCGTCATCACCGATTAAACAGCAATCCAATCCGACTGAAGCTACTACTATTACTACTACAACTGATGATATTCTTTCAGATTGTCATTCGAAAAGAATTACAGACAAACTGCCTACACTTATCGGCATAATACATTTATCAGATATTAATAATCCCACAGACACAGATGTTCAAAAGTTGAATTTAAAAGTCCTGAAAATATCACCAGTAGTCGGTTTACCGACATCGATGAATCATGCTAATAGGTCAACAACATCATCACCTCAAGGGATACTTGTCTGTTGTGGTACTGAATTATCATCTCTGAGTGGCGATGATGATGATGATATTCATCACAATGACACTGCGGAGAATCAACATCAGTCGACTGAAAATGGTGATTTATTTTTATTCGAGTAAGTTTATTTATTTGTCGGCTGTTTATTTTATTGTGTTTTTGGTTTTTGCTAGGCAAGATGACTTTTCTTGCTAATTGTGAAATTTATTTACATAGCTGCTGTAAGAGTGGGTATTATTGGTTCTCTGTGTTTACACAGTTTAATTTTCTTACTAAGAAAAAATAGTGATATGGAACACACATACACACACACACGTTGTTTAACCACCGATATGGGATTAGGTCAGCATGAAGTCTGACATCATTCCATGAAATCTTTGACAGTTAGTTTAGGCTATCCATGTAGGGTGTCGTATGCAGCCTGGTTCGGGTTCTGACCACGTCAACTCCTAACTTAGTGGTAGGGAGTGAAGTGATAGAACATGTTGACCACTTCACCTATTTGGGAAGTTGTATTAGCACCAACGGACTGATTGGCGATGAAATCTCAGCACGGATCCGAAAAGCTCGAGCTGCTTTCGCTGACTTACACCATCTCTGGCGTAGGAGTGACATCCGGCTGGCTATCAACCAAGGGACGTGTGTACTGCTCATCAGTTCGCTCTGTCCTTCTCTATGGCTCTGAAATATGGCCAATACGCGTTGAAGACATGAAAAGGTTGACTGCTTTCGATCATAGATGTCTGCGATCTCTGTCTCACATTAGGTGGTTTAATAAGGTAAGTAATGTTGACGTTAGGCGTAGAGTGTTGGGCAAAGAGGGAAAATCAATCGACGAGGCTATAAAGTTACATAGACTGAGATGGCTAGGTCACGTGCTAAGCATGCCTAACCATCGCCCCCCACCACGACGGGCATTGCTAGCTGATATAGGTGCAGGTTGGAAAAGAGCCAGTGGTGGCCAAACAAAAACATGGCCTCATCAATCCATGAAATCCTTGACAGTTAAACTGAGTCGGTCAGGTAGGGAGATGCAGACTTCTGGGTTGGGGCCCTCGGGACTCTAGGAATCAGTGGCTGGAGACAATAGGTGACAAGGCTCAAAATCGTTATCAATGGTGCAGATGTATTCAGTCTCTGTAATCTTTCATATTCCTTTCTACCATTACCCATTCTGTTTCACTCTTATACTTGTCAAACTCTATTGATTCTCTTCGCTCATCTTCTTGTCTACCTCTGTGTGCTATTTGGAACGTGGCAACTCGGACTGGTGCACTTCGGTGGCAAGTTCTATGTTGAATCCAGACAGACTGACTGACTGGTTTCAGCATAGAACTTTGCACCGATGTGCAGCAGTTCGAGTCGCTAAACTTCACTCAGCACACAGAGCAAGAGAAGAAAGTGAAAAGAAATGAATAGAGAGTTCAAGGGAATGGAAGTGAGTGGTAAAGCGAAATTTCCACTGTGACATGTAGTGGAAAGTAGTCAGGTTTTTAAAATAGTCCATACCCAAAGAAAATCATGGTTACTTCGCTTCGCAGAAGCAATTGGCATCATGAGACTTCGAACCATAATTTTACTTTGCTATTCATTCCTGTGCCTTCTTGAACTCTCTGTTATAGTGTATGTATAAATTCACTCCATTTTCCTACCCGACCGATGACTGCTACCTTGTCGTGGTGGTCGGGCTTGAATACCGTAATGACCCAACATGCTAAACTGTCTGGGACTCTGTCCCTGCAGGTCCTACCATGTCAGGAAGGCTGTTTGGATAGCGATTAAACTAAAAGCAGTTACCACGGGGTACATGGACTCCAGAATCTAATCGGATCAAATGGCATATGAACCCAGATGGGTCACCGGAAACCATGGGAATGCTGCTCTGCTGCCTTGCGGATTAGACTCCAAGTCAAAGGCTCAGTAGGTGGTCCCCTAATAAAACCACCTGCTTCGGTCTGGACCCCCGGGTAGTATCTCAGCCCTCACACAATGAATTGAATGAAGCAACAAACAATCAATGAAACTTATCGCTTGCTATTACACGTGTTTCAATTTCCTTCTTTCTTCCCTTCCCGATGATAATTAACGAATACTGTTTGAACTTGTTAAGCATGACTGTTTCCCTTCCAGATGAAGTTCTTTATCCGTTCTCTAATTATATATTTTTTCTCTTATTTCTTTTCTTTTGATCTATGTTGTTATATTATTACTGTGTGGCGCATCCTTCTTGGCGCCATATTGTGCCAAGTTTTTATGCGTGTAAATAAATAAATAAAATAATTTAATCCATTTTCCTATCTCATATTTCGTCTCTAGTCCATCCTTCTTTACTAGCAAAATCCGAATTCTACCCCGTTTTCTCCATTCATACTATGAATAGTTAATCCCTTTTTATTACTGAATAATTTGTCTACTTACATCGTATTTTTGAATCATATTACCAGTACTTTTTATCGATAATTCGATGTCACTGTGAGAAAAGTATGTTCATCAGAAAGTATTCTGTAACTTATATTTTCATATGGTTTAGGATATAGGCAGTTGAAGAGAATCCACGGGATAAAAAAGAGCTCGTATTATTCTGCAAAAACATTCTATCGTTCTTTCCTTGTTGAAACTAATCAGGGGGACCAGTTTTATGAAATGTTTCTGTTTTGTTCTTTGTGCTGATGAAGTTTGTCGATTCAATTTTATTAATACTCAGTGACGCTGTCTATATTTTATATTGACTATCCTCATTTCTATATCTTGCTTAGATTTCAAATCAACGCACTCCAGTCTAATGTTAAGGTGTAGAAGTGAGTTATTCGGCGCTGGGATATGAGTGACACTTATTGTGTGAGGACTCATGATCACTACCCCCAGTAGTTAACCTGTCTGAAGTAGGTAGAACGAGATGTTAATCTGAGATCTATAAGCTGGAAGTCGAATGGTTAAGCCAATGGTCTGCATTACTAATGTTATTATTATTATTACTATTATTATTACTCCCAAAGGTTCTGAGTGGCCTTCAACAATAATTCTCCATTGTTTCCTGTTTTCTACAGTCCTCTTTGACTGGCTGCACAATCGCCCATGGAGTTTCATTTCACTCTTACATGATCTCCTCCAGATTATTCTCGCATCCATATCCAATTCATTATTTCCTACTCTGGTTGCATCCAAACGGTGGCCTAGTGCGTGTGTCTTGTCTATCCCCCTCTTCTACGGAATATTTAATGAGAATAAGGTTGCTGATTAGTTCATTCCAAGAGTGTTGTTGTCGCTGTTTCTTTTCGCGGACTACCTGATCTTTAGTATAGGGCCAGCGAAATCAACTGTTGATAAAAGTTCACAGTAGCCTGTTAGAAATGCTTGTCGTAATCCGCATGTCCAATTGCTGACGCATACAGAGGAACTTGTGGTCTGTGCTACTCATAAGATGGACAAGTAGTGTTTAAGGTGACATTCATTGGCATAAAAATGTCAAATATTGAAAAAACAGATTTGATGTCAAAGAGAGCAAATGATTCAGCGTTGCGGCAAAACATGGGAGACAGGAATAGAAGACAAGGGGATACAATATGAATTGCAGAAGTATCCTAACACATAAGATCTGTGCAAATGATGGCTTGCAACATAAAGTTTACATAATTTCGCTATATAGCGATACCAAATTCTAAATAAGCATTCCCTAACAAGTATTTTGTCTTCTTCCGTTACAAACTGACTCAACACACACACCCTCACTCTAAATCGATAAAAGAGATTTCTGCAAGGATTATGTTGACTATTTTCAATTTTTTTTACTTCGCGTTCCAGTGGAACATAGGGCTTCAAGCTAGTGGCTTGAGGTTTCTGTAGCAGTGTTTATTTTTTACAGGATGGGGTCGCTAGCCTCATGCCCAACCTTTCATCTCTACCAGCATTTTTTCTGGCTTATAGCGAGGTAAAGGAGTGTCTCTGTGGCCGGGGATCGAACCCGGACCATGTGCATGGTCGGCGAGCCTCTGACCGTTGCACCACCGACACACTGACTATTTTCATAGTTATACTTAAATAAAGTCTATGTAAGTGTACAAATCCCTTATCTTTATTGCTTTTATTTTCTTAGGTATAAAGCTGGTGCAGTTGATTGGAACGCCTCTCATTCAGTTCTTAGTGAAAATCCACTTTTGCATATTCAATTACCTGGTAATTATTGTCCCATTGAAATGGATGTCTTGTCTAATGATAATAATGATCTTCAATATTGTTGTTGTTCAAATCCACTGAACAATATCATTCAATTACCAATTGAATACTATTCTGTTAAGCAAGATAATCAAATCAAAAGGGATGCAAAGTTTACGCTACAGTCATTTATCGATTGTACATCAGGGGATCTTTCAATGTGCTGTTTCCTGCTTACAATATCTGGTTCATTGTTACAAGTGAATTTTTATAATGATTTCTCGTGTCTTATCCAACTTCTTATTTCTGATCCCATATCATGCATAGATGAAGATATACAGCAGAAGAATGAGAAGACAGATGAAGAAACTACTAGTGTTAATGTACATCGTATACAATTTAATGCATTTACATATTGTACTGGACTAGGAAATCTATGCCTGTGTACTGTAGACGGTCAAATGTGTATATACCAGTTGTATAATCAAGAGCTTTTCAAATATGATATGAATAAAGAGAAACGTATCACCTTAAAGAGTTCAGCTTCATCTGTGAATATAAAGAAATCTAAAACATCATCGAGTATTATTGATAATACTTCTATTACAAGTTGTTCATTAAGCGATCTATACGCTTACTGTAATTCTCCAATAGATCAATGCATTATATTACATCAGTTAATTCAAACAATTCCTGTAGACGCACAAATCCAAATTAATTTTCCTGATCGAATTGGATGGTATGAAGTTGATCTTTTTCGATCAATAATATCACCTTCTCCATCTGATGGACGTATTAACAACACTCGATTCGAGAAGAAAGATATGCTTACTGATGACCAAGATCCAAAAATATCATCGTCTTCCAATGACAATGAAACAATTCATATCCTTTCAAGGCTAGTCACGCGTTACTTGCAATTGGAAGGTTGTGATTCTTCGAATAAATCAAAGTTAACTACATCGACAACAAATAATCTTCCAGTCGCTTTGAAATGTGCTTCATTAGCAGTTCAATTGAGTTTAAGTGGTGGTCTATCAGCCCGTTTATGGGAGTTTAACATTAAAAATTGGGTTGCTTATCAAGCTTTAATGAAGCATCCATCGCCTGAAAGGTCTGCTAATACGATGACTGATGAACAAACTACGCTACCGTGTAAAATTAATTCTACAGCATATTCAAAGATGAATACATCCTCTGAATATGTGTTGGATATTAGTCTGCCTCGTGTTTGTTCATTATCACATTTTGTGTTTCACTCAACAATGAAACCATATGAAGTGAGTTTTTTTCATGTAAATTTTTCCTTCACGTTCCCAGTGGAACATAGGACTTTAAACTAGTGGCTTGAAGTTTCTGTAGCAGTGTTTTGTTTACAGGATGAGGTTGCTAGCCTCATGCCCAACCTTTCTCTTTACCAGCATTATTTCTGGCTTAGCGAGGTAAAAGAGTGCGTCGGTGGCCGGGGATCGAACCCGGACCATGTGCATGGTCGGCGAGAGTCCTAACTGCTGTGCCACCGACGCACTTTTTCATGTGATTCATTCTATTTGTTATTAGGTGAATATGAAACTTCTGATATTCTTAAGTATATTAGTTTGCAGGGATTTGAATGGTTACAGGTTCGAACGATCATAAGACGACATCAATTAGAAAACTATTGGGAAACCAGGGGCTCATCATCAGTACTCACCCACTACTCAACCGGGAGTCAAACCCAGGGCCTTCAGGTTATCAGGACAGGCTTGTTGACCATTCATCACTTGGGCGCATAAATTCTAACTGCTGTCCATTCTCAATTATAGCGCTGCCACCAGCCAGTATCATCACTGAGTATTTCTCTTCACACCATTGACTTGGTGTGCGCTATAGGTCATGACTTCTCCCTAGAACTCCAAGCTACTTCATTGATGTGCAGACAGATAAACAATCCATTATCCTCTTATGGTTATCTTCTTTCAACCCGCCCGATAGCTGCTACCTTGACATGGTGGTCAGGCTTGCATATCGCAATGACCCAACAAGCTACACTGGCTGGAACTAATTTTCCTGCAGATATTATCATGTCAGCGATAGCAATCAGACTAAAAGCAGTTACCAACATACTGTAAGGTAATGGGGGGAAATCAATCGACGAGTTTGAGATGGTTAGAGCACAAGTTACGCATGCATGCCCAGCCATCGCCATCCTCGGCGGGTAATGTTAGCTGACATAGGATCGATCAGGTTGGAGAAGAGCCAGTGATGGGCAAACCAAAACATGACTTCATCAGTCAATGAGATCCACAGCACTTGGTTTAAGCCACACTGGGAGATGTCGACTTCCTGGTTGGTGTCCTCCTGGATAGTAAAAATTAATGAAGTCTGGAGACAATTGGTGATATGACTCAAAATCGTTCTTAATGGCTGGTGCAGATGCATCCACTCCTTTTGACTTATAATATTCAATAAAACTGTGGTTCTTCGATATTACTATTCGTTTTTGCCTCGAACTTATGTCTTTTGAACCTCCCTTTACTGTCTTCTTTTGCGTTGTGTGGCAAGTAGAACTGCTACACATCAGTGCAAAGTTCTATGTTGAAGCCAGTCAGTCAGTTAGTGAGATTTTTTTTACATTATGCTGGGAATCTGTGGACAAAGTGGTATGGCTGGGGATTAGGGATGCAACAACAGTAAGGTGTTTGCCTCAGGTAACGAGCATGCTAGGTATTCTGTCTCTCACTATATATAGAGGGGGTTAGAAAAGGTTAACTAAAAATTGCACATCGCAACTAACCCTCAAGGTGCTTCGTTGCCAGTGGTAATTTCCTAATATGGAAACAAGTCTAAAAGCCAGTTCATAGAGGCCATGTGTGTGACTGGCGTCAAGCTGTTGTCCCCTGGGCTTTGCAGATGCACAACACTAATTCTCTGTTTGACTTGGGAAAAAAACAACTTACACGATGTGGAGGGCCGGGAAGTGACAACCTCCCAGATACTTTCGAAAGCACACGAAGCTCTCCTGTTCATCACCCTCCTATCTTCTCTCACGTATACACCATTGTCCATATACATATATATATATTATTGTTTTTCTTTTTGTATAACTTTAGAAAACGAAAAGCCGCCAAAAGTGTATATAACACTGTTAAGAAAATACATCTCGTCGAATAGTTCAAATTTTATGCACCAGTCTACAAGTAAAATAAACACAGATCCTAGTGATTTAAATAATCCTCCGTCTGATCTTGATCATAGTTTAGTTGTAGAAGATTTAACAGCTCCGTATATTGATGATTTGGAATATGACTGTACAGTTGATAAGTTGTCAACATCACTGAAATCAAAAAGTGAACCAGTGTCTAATTTTGATGATGAATTCCTGTCAAAGTATTTAAAAGGTGAGTTTTGGCAGTATTGTGTATGAGCTGTCGTTAAGTTGTTGTTTTTCCCCACTTTTCTACAGGTTACTTGCATCATTATGGTGTCTGTATCAGAAACGATACAGTTAATTGTGCGTCCGTAGTTCAGCAGGAGAGTGCTCTCCAGGCACTCTCTTTGAAGTACCAGACTGAGTTCTAATCGAAGCTAGCTAGCTAGCAACCTTCCAATTAGTATAGATGAACATTGGCCGCATCTGAAAAACACCATGCAAATGGAGAGTGTAGCCAATCCGCTAAAAACTATAGGGTTTTTGAGAGTTCTTTGCAACTCCTCGATGAACGCCAGTCTATTCTGACAGGCAGCGAGTACAACAACAAGTTGTCGATAAGTTCGTACACCTGAGCAGTAGTGTGAGTGGTGATGGAAATGTGACGGAGACAGCTAGGGTGGCATACGCCATTTGCGTTACTTCAGCTCAGTTTTGCTCTACGCCTGTGAAATTTAACCTCTTTGGGCTCTGCATATTCGATCATCTCTGCCTCGATTGGGATATGGTCAAGAATGGCAATCAGTTGGAACATGCTGGAATTTCATTCTTTCTTCCCTTTCTGACAGTAATACCACGATTGTTGTTTGGTCATTTTAAATATAATCGCTTCCTTCTGGATAAAGTCCTTTCTTCATTCTCTCTGTTTTCTTTGTACATTGCTGTTTTATTATTACTGTGTGGGGTGCATCTTCTTGGTGCCTATATTATACCACGTTTTATTTTTTGAATTAATAAAATAAATAAGCACGGGTTTCATGTATGTTTCGTTATAAGATATGTCAATGATTGAAAGCTAACTTTTTCCATTCTGTGCCTGCTGTTTGCCATTCCCCTTATATTAATATAAGGACTTCCAGGTTTTGGATTTGTAGGGATTTTGTTTGATTGCGTGGAGGATTTCATCATGAGCTGACATCAGTCAGAGGAACCACTGGAAAACCTGGGAGTACTGAACATCCAGGTTTTTCGTCCTAGTTTGGGACTCTTCACAGTACGCACCCACTGGTGGTTCGAACCCAGGACCTTCTGGTTAGAAGGCGAGCTCGTAGACCATTGAGCCACTGGGACCCGATCACTGTGGAGCCGTGACTAGTAGGGTACAGCAGGTTGAAGATGAGGCAGTAACACATCGAAGAGGACATTGCGAAATGGTCGCGCTATGTCGTGAATTGGCAGAGGTCAGAATTCAAAGACCATTGGATCGGTTCCCAGTGGCTGCTGAATGGTCTACGAGGTGGCTCGCCTTGTAACCAGAAAGTCCTGGGTTCGAACCCCGTGGATGCGTACTGCTGAAAACTTCCAAACTAGGACGAAAAACCTGAACGTCCAGTACTCGCAGGTTTTCCAGTGGTTCTCTAACTGATGTCAGCTCATGATGAAATCCTCCATGTAATATAAGGACTATTTTAAGTATATATGTTGCATATCTACTTTATTTTCTCTCTCCTAGTTCCTGGACGTTTCATCAAGTACCTACTCAAAACCTATCATCGGAACGTCTTCGTGAATTAAGCGCAAATATAATTGCTGGCCCATATTTGTTAAGCGACTTTTTAGACGTTCACGGGCGTTATTGCTGTATGCCATTAACAAGTTCTGAACTTATAAAGTGTTGTTCACGTCTGTTCGCTCTACATATCAAGATTGTTCTTCCAGAAACTGAGGTGAGAGTACCCTTAGAAATACTTCTATTTCTAAGCATATTTTTGTTTACAGAGGAGATCCTTTAGAATTAGCCAGGATCAGTGTTGTTTAAATGTCTAGTAATGCTTTCAGTTAGACAGATGCATTGATAATCCGATCCTTGAATATTTTGAAGTATTGTGTTTAACCTGCATTTATTTATTTTCTTTTTATTCAGGGAGTATTATGATATTAGCATCCCCCCTTATTTCCGAGTGGAAAATAGGGCTTCAACAGTAGATCTTCATTTCCTGTTCTCTGCACTCCTCTATAGCTAGCCCTGTGATTGTCCCTCCTCACACGATCTCCTCTGTTACGATGCTAGATCTTTGTCACGAGGTAACTGCTTAACTACTGACCAGTGCCCACTTAACTGGTAAAGCAGAACACGCGATAATCAGCGGTAAAACCAGAATCCTTTATTATGACAAAAGTGACTGTATTTATACAGAAATAAGGTAGACTGGAAATCAACCAATCCGGTTGAGAGTTTGGAATTGTGCAAGCGTCCAATCAGAAAGCAGAAACAAATGCATGTCAACGACATGATAATAACTTGATAATTGCATGTGTTTCGCCTCTTCCTAACATCCTCCATGTCACTGTCGAATTCTCACCAAACACGTCGTCCCCCGTCTGGGTTCTGCTCGACCGATGCCTAGCTTGCGTGTAAAATCACTAAATGGTGGTCTCCTTGGCCTTGTCTCCAACCCATCTCCACTTCTTTTTGCATGTTTATCGAGCAGTAGCTTGTTAACTAGTTCTCTGCCAGAGTTTCTTGACGCTTATACTTTCCAGCCGGTTTTCTGTTATTCAGTATCAAAGACGGCAGCTGACCTGTTGGAAATGTCATCTGTGACCCACCCGCCGCCAAGTCTCTAGACCAATTTAGAAGCACTCGCTAACCTGACATTAGTGTTGAAAGTTCAGATCTTGTTCCTTGTGCTCTGTGCTGTAGATCTTCATACTGGAGTTCCCTATCATGGTTGACTTCTACATTGTCACCTTTGCTGTGTACAGTTGAAACGATGTTGCTTAGATAAGTAAAAGAGTGATAGTGATCGGTTCTTGTTGTTGTTGGTGATGATGATGATTGGGTATCTTCTATATGTGCACTTGAAGTCCTGTCTTTGCTGGCTGCTGTTTCTGCCAACTTGTTGGTTTTCACCTGTAGATCTTCGACTTTGCAAGACACAAGGCATAGATCGTCCGTGAAGTTCAGATCCCCCATTGTCCTTCTGTCTCTTCCACGTATGCATATCCCCTCGCTGCCTACAGTCTGTTGCACGGTCCAGTCCATTACAATCAAGAATATCATCGGTGATAGTAGGCAGCATTGTCTAATCCTAACCTTCATTTCAAAGGCATCTCTGAGTTTTCCGCTGGCATGTGGCATCGTCATACAGTTGTTGAATGAGGTTGATGCATGCTCACACTCTGCACTGCGTAGTGTTGAGGCAGACTGAAGTTTTTTAAGAAAATCATATGCCGTGGCTAAAGGGACATTATCGATAACATTGTCATAAGGAGAATAACAGTCTTATAGCCTGTCGGATGAAGGCACTAGGATGACCCAATGAGTTGCAGTTTCGGAATGCACTTAATTAAAATGATGTTAAAACAACGAAATATGTGTATATATAATACAGTCATTGTACTGTTATACACGACATCTATCCTTTTGTTTCCTAGGTAAGTGCATAAAATCGTAAAGTAATGTGTACAACCCGTGATTTTGTATCAGCAAGCGGAGTCGAAAGAAAGTAACGATTGTGCACTAATTTCATCAAACGCTTATTCGATTCCTATTAGTTGTATTAATTATATTTCACTATTTTATTTGTGGATGGTGATTGGCAGTGGAATCTAGGATACGCATTTTGTCCTATTTGAGACTCGTCATCTGAATGTACCCACATTTCCTAGTGAGGGATAATGTTCCCACCGAGGCTCGAACCCCAAGTGGTCTAATGGATAACGCTTTGGTGTTTGAAACTAAGGGCACTGGGTTCGAGCCTCGGTGGGAATATCGTCACTCACTGGAAAATGCAGGTGCATCCAGATGACGAGTCCCAAATAGGACGAAATGTGTATTCTGGATTCCACTGATAGTCACCATCCACAAATTAAATTGTAATTAAATGCCCTGACATCGTCGAACCATCTGCACAAGAAGCCGACATGTCAACCTGAGACCGATCACTTCGGTCCAATCAATCGACGGGAAAATCTCAAATTCAATTAAAATGTACTTCACTATGTTCATTTTGATTTCATAACACGTTCATTTCATTTACCAGATTGTTTTATCTTCTTTGCTTTGCTTTACTTTTCTTAGGTTTCTTCGAATTCTGATTCTCAGTCAACGTTGTGCGAAGAGGAATCGCCAGTACTGTCTGATTTATTCGCACAAATTGGCTTAAGTGTACATCAGTTTCAAGGTCACTATAAACAGCCAGCTTATACGTCACCGACAAGCGACAAAAATTGTTCTAAACAGTCGGTCATTGACAATACTACACCTCATTCATCAACATTATCCAAAATTGCTATTATTCCACACGAAAGAGCTCAACGTCTCGGCATTTTACGCTCTGTAAAACTTCATGAGGCATGTTTTGAATTTCTTAGTTCCAGTTCGACTGAGGACGTTAAAAAATGGAGTCATTTATATAAACAAGCTTATCCCAAGAGTTTATTTTCAATTATCTTAGATTTAATGAATTGGATTGTTTTAATGTATTATCATGAATTGGAATTCCCATGGTAAGTATTTATGTTCGTCTTTAGAATATTAATTTTAACAAAAGTAATCCAGTCAACTGGCTTTTATAGTCGATGTGTTTGGTGGTATAATTTGCGCTATAATTATAACTTATCACTGAGTACAGAATGTGTTGGAAGAATCTGCTGAGCGTACCGTGACAGCGAGCCACTACCTAGTGGCATGGTGACCCCTTATTGCAAACTTGACTGATAGAATTCAGTCTTCAGTAAGCAAAAGGTCTAGGCAAATGACACTACTTAGTGTCCAATCAGAAGTACCCAATACAATCCTGCAGGAGTGCGATCGAGAGCCCGGATAGCTCAGTGATGGTAACGTCTCTGACTGTAGCACTGGGTAAAACGGGTTCGAACCTCAGAAGGGACATGAGTTCCTTGAGCATAGGCATTTCTGACTGGTGGTGAGTGCTAACAAGCACGACACCTATGTAAAGCTAGCTGGTCCTGTAAATTTGGTCATCATCATCACCTCCGTTTTGTCCATGTTCACTTGAAGTCCTGTCTTTACTACTTTCTTCCCCTACCAGTTTATATGTTTTCGTCTTTAAATCTACGAATTTATTTGACATTCGGCAAAAATCGCCCACCAATTCCAGATCTTTCATAGTTTTTTTTATTGGTTCAACGTATTCCTGTTATTAATTAGTCTTTGGTTTTCATTGGTTCTTTAACTGTTATCAGTTCATAGTGAAATACAGCGAGAAATCAATCATCTAAGCTCTCCTGCAAACTAGTATTTGAAAGCAATTAAATATCTATAAAACACAAAATAATCGAGCAAAGAATATTCTTTTCGATAATTTTCTCCTCTTCTGGCTCTACAATTATGTATATTTTTATACACAAAGGATATTCTAGAATAGTAGTTAATAACAATATTGGTGTTTTTTAAATAATGTTAATTTGTAAAGTTAAATCACAATGGAATTACAGTTCATTAAAGATGCTTAAATTATAATAATAATAATAATAAAGATATAGCAGCGAATAGAATATCAACTAAAATTAGGAAAATTCCACAAAAATTCAGGATCATTTAAATCTAGATTCCCAAGGTAATAATAATGACTGAACTAACTTCTTTTGGATGCATAAATTAGGCTTGTTAATGTGTATCCCCACCGCTTCAGCAATATTTAGTAGTTGAACTCTTGAGGCGACATTGGGATTCGTAGGTATACGGTTAATGACCCTGAAAGCATGGTTAACGTCAATCTTGTGTTTTGTCTCCACAAGATGAGACAAAATAGCGCTGCGAATAGATTTTGTTTGTGCTTTACTTAACCACCACTGAGCAGGGTGATGTTCGGAAATACGACGAGAAACACGCCTAATTGTACGGCCTATGTAACTGGCTTATTCCACGTGAGCAGTTAAATTGGTAGATACACATGGAAGAGACGAAATTAGGCAGTTTCTCTTTTACTCCCAAACGCAGAAGAGGAGTGGTTTTAAAGATACAACGTAATTCAGCAGCAGGGAATGCTCTTTTTACTGCATTTCTAAGGCGATGTGTTAGTATCTCGCTGGTATTGTCCCCAAGGAAATGCATTTGTAAGAATAAGGCCTATTTTTCGGAACTGTTGCTAACTTGGGTTGCTTTGGTTTTAGATTCATATTCCTATCAATAAAATTTTCAGGATAACCATTTTCACTTAGAAACCGTTTAGTATTTTAATAAAGTTCCTCATCAAGACATTCGTCTGAGCAAATAGCTCTTGCTCTGTAAACCAAGCACTTTATCAAATTGCGCTTGTATTTCAAGGGTACAAAACTGAGAAAATGTGTGTACTGGCCCGTTGATGTAGGTTTTCTATGTAAACACTTCTTCTTCTTATTGTGCCATCCTCTTTTCTACTCATAAAACGTCTAAAAATGAAATCCTAGAGTCTTTTTCTTTCTCAGTGGTAAAATTTATTGAAGGATATACCTCATTAAATTTATCCAGGATGCTCGATTATTATTTTGTGTTTGATAGATGTCTGAATGAATATTTTCGCTAAATTAAATATCTAATCATTCGAATTTGCTTATACATATTAATTTAAACAAATGTCCGTACATTATAGCATATCTTCTTGTCATTTTCTTTTTCAAAAAAAATCAAACACAGTGATGTTATTACAAACCTCTTGAATTTGGCTGGCAACAGTTGTGAAAATCTAATTGAAAATCTTATTGTTTATGGTGATCGTGAAACTACACAACTTGGAACTAAATTTCTATTCAGTTTACTCAAGTAATGCCTTTTATATCTAACCGTTTTGGTGTTTATTTTGTTGTTGGTGTTTTTATACCTTCTTGTACCGTTTTCATTGCGCATATATTTCTGGCGATTGGGCGTCTGGACTGTATAGTTTGTGCATTGACCTTATATTCGATTTGTGACTTTAGCTATTGGAGAATCTTTAATCTTTAGGCTGAAAATACATTCGTAGCTGATAAAACTCAAGGATAGTTTCGGTTTAAAGCTAAATAGTTTTAATATTAATATCAGTAAAAAGTTTGAGCATTGTGGATTAGATCAAATAAAGTATAATTATATTTTAATAGTTTACACACAATGATAAGTTTTGTTATTGGTAATATTTCGAGCAAAATTACTGCCCGTGTTCACACCACTGTTGGAATTGTTTTATTCACACATTTATGATTTGTACTCATATATAATTGTTTATTTTCAATTCACTTTTGATTAGCTTGGAAATCATTATTGAGTCATATGAAAAAGAGAAGACTTTCAGCGAAGAGACTCTCTTCAGCGAATTCGTTCACATAGCTGTACAATCGCATTTATACATAATTGTGTGTGTGTGTGTACATGAGGTTTGTCAAGTTTAGATAATTAATCAGGTAATACGAGAATGATCTAATATAGAAACAAGGTTAATCAGCCAGCAACTAAAGTAAGATTCAGTTAGTAAGTTAGATGACGTAATATAATTGACTAAAATGTTTCAACTTAGGTCAGGGTAGCAACGGAGGTAATTACAGGTAGAGACTAAGTAGAAGTGGGGTAGATAATAATGCCATTTAAATTAGAACTGAAATTGGGAAATTGAGTTGGGTGACGTAGCATGAATGACTAGAAATTGGTCAAGTCAGTAACCATGTGGTAGTTATTATTATTATTATTATTATATCCTTTAATTCCTAGAAGAACATAGGGCTTCAGCTGCGCATCTCCATTGCCTTTTGTTTTCTGCCAACTTTTTTCACCCCACTCTAAGTCCGCCCACATGCTTTCATCTCCTCTTCACATGACTTCCTCCAAGTCACTCTTGGACGACCAGCTCGCTGTTTCCCTTTCGGGTTCCACTCGAGCAATGGCTTGCCTAATGATGTCACTTGATGTTGGCCAGCCAATCCATCTCCATTTCTTCCTGCCTATTTGTTGCACAATCGGTTCCTGCTGGGTTGGTTCTCTCATTGCCAGAGATCGCTGTTGGTGATCTTTTCCGCCCCCCCCCCATCTGATCTTGAGTGGTATTGAGCGAAGACAACTGTTAATGAAGGTCTGAGGTGTAGAAATTAAATCGGGCTGGGGTAGAGAACAAGAAAGTTGAAAATGTAAAATATTACAATTGAGAAGAAAAAATAATACTAATGAAGACTCAGACAAAAAAAGATTAGCTAGAATTCACTTTTGGTTTCCCCTTTGACTGATCGGAACGGGGTGTTTGATCTTTGTCAACATGTGGGTTTTGAGTGCAGACATTTCGACAATGTCTGAGAAAATAACTTGCAGCAGTTTGGTATGTTGTGACTAGCACTGGAATCCAAAAATACACATTTCGTCCTCCTCGGGACTTGTTAGCTGAACTGACTTAGGATAATCATCGGATACCGTCGAAGTGTCGGAACTAGTTAGGAGCTGTCGTGTCAGCAGAGGCCGAACATCTCGGGCCAATCAGCGGGAAAATCAAAGCTGAATTAGAAACACATAACTGATGTTCGTTGCGCAAGAGATGGCTCTTTTGACCCAAGTGGTCTGCTGAATAACGCTTTAGTATTGGAAACGATAAGTACTAGATTCGAGTGTCAGTAGGTAAACCATCACGCACTTGGAATGCTGGCACACCAAGTAACGAGTCTCAAATAGGATGAAACGCTCATTCTGGATTCCACTGTTAGTCACCATTCACCAATTTATTATTTTTTTTTACGAGTTGATCGCAGATTTTATATCAGTTAGAGAAGCTTTAAAAACTAGGGAGTACTGGACAGCTGTTTCATCCTAATTTTTCTTTAATTTTTGATTACAGCTTGATTCACACCGTATTTTTGGTACAAGTATGGAATTTTCAGCATGGATATCGGTAGCTTAAATTTTGCAGGCCGACCATAGATATCAGGTGTGCGTCGGCAGGGGATCGAACCTCGGACCATGTGCATGGTCGGCGGCACCCTCGGAATCATCGACAGTGCGCACCCACCATCATGGTTAGGACCCAGCACCTTCCGGTTAAAAGGAAAGTTCGTATACCATTCAGCCACTGGGACCCGATTCCATCGCCAGTCCATGAGTTCTAACTTCTACCAAGGTCCTCAGTGTGTAAGTAAGTACTGCCCATGATTCCCAAACTAGGATGAAACAGCTATCCAGTACTCCCTAGTTTTTAATGCTTCTCTAACTAATATCAATCCGTGATCAACTCTTAAAAACATAACTAACCCTTTAACAAACCAAACTATAGACAGTTTAATATTGCCTTTTTGTTTTTGTAAATAAAATCCCCCACCGTTGTCTGGTAGGCTAAGTGTCTAATACTTCTGAGACTCACTTTTGTGGCGAATTAGCAGTCTGTTCTCATTGCGATTGTGTGCAGTCAGGTTCAGTTGACTTATTCTTCATAGCTATTTGATTGATTAACAATATACTTGAAGAAAAAAATAACTTCTGATAGTTTTTCCTCTGAAATTGTATTTTCTTAGCAGTCCTCAGCATCTATAAGTTAGATATAAGTTTTAATGCAGACTGCGTCACAAATCAACATCAGTTAGGCGTCACTGAAAACCAGGAAGCACAGGATAGTTGCTTCGTCCTATATTGGGTCTCCTCAGCAGCAGCACACACACCAACGACCGCACCAGGGATTCCACCCAGCGTATATTTGTTTTGTTTTCTATTCATTTAGGGGAATACACAAACTTATAATAATGAGGATTGTATTGAGTTTCGTTTAATTTTATTATTATTATCATATATTACTGTTTAATGTTTTTCCTTTCAGATTGGAATTTATTTTCCTGAAGTATGCATCACCGTCAACCTGTAGCTCCATGCCTAATAGGAAGGCGGTATTTTTTCAAAAATTATGTGATTGTTTATCTCTTCCAACAAGTGAAGATTGTCGTGGGAATAAATTAACACGTTGGCTGTTAATCTGTCAGACATCAGGTGGTTGTGAAGCCTTACTGAATCTACTCGATTCAATAATTTCTATCACTTCGAATGAAAATTACAATGATGCTGCAAGTGTGAATTCAACATCATCATTATCAATACTAAAAAATAGTTTATTAAATCTCTTCAGTATAATTTCTATGTTTGGAAAAGACTCTGCCGGTTCATCACAGTTGTAAGTAGTTTTGTTTTCTTTTCTATAGTGTAGTGGGTTAGAATGTTTACTGCCTTATTTTTAATAGTAGTTAGAAGAAAGTGTCTTTTACTTATGGGGACTTTAAGTTCCTCCGGTGTGTATAGTCTTTGGTGTTAAATTAGCTCATGGGAGGGGTGCTTCTTCGGGGTTTTTGATTTTTATTTTGATGTAGTTCTCGCAGCTGAGTAGCATAGTGAGTTACAAAAATAATAATAACGTTCGGAGCGATGACTGTTGGGTTCCTGTTTAAATTCAGACAGTCTCTCACTGGGATGTAGTCACGTCCACATGATGTTGTTCACAGTGAATCGTGCATACCAGATTCCAACAGTGGCCTTCAAGATGGTGTTTTTTATTTCTCTTACTTAACTGCGTCGGTGGCACAGCGGATAGGGCTCTCACCAACCACGAACATGGTCCGGGGTTCGATCCCCTGTCACAGACGCACTTCTTTACCTCGCTAAGCAAGAAATAATGCTGGCAAAAAGGGAAGGTTGGGCATGAGGCTAACAACCCCATCCTGTAAAATAAACACCACTGCCACAGAAACTTCAAGCCACTAGCTTGGAGCCCTATGTTCTACTGGGGAACGTGAAGGAAAAAAATTTGAGGACTTCAAAATATTTTATGCATCGTATTGTGTGATATATGCTACTCACAGGATTCATAATTAGTGCATAAAGTATCTCCGAAGATGTAGTGGGATATTTTTTGCGCAGATATCTGGTGGTAATCAATACCTTCTGTTGATGAAGGAACACGCTACATGATGGGTAGACGCCGTGGCGATTCGAGATCAACCTGCAGGTTTTCGACATGTACTTGCAGACCACGATTTTACCAAAGATTTACCAGTTTTTACTTACTTTACTTTACTTCGGCTATCTCCTACGGGAGGATGAGCTGGCTTCATGAACGTCTCGAATCATCGCTGCCCAGGCGCGGCAATTTGTAAGAGAGTTCATGAAGTTTCATGGGAATTTGGTACGAGTGATGTCCCCAGCATCGCTCGGCCTTTTGTTTGAGAGTGCAGCTCTAGCCTTTACACAGCCAAGTGTGACCTACAAGGCAGTAGGAGTGGAGTAAGGAGTCCACTATCCATTGGCAGCCGGTGACCGGAGTTCGGTTCATACGCCTTTTTGAATGGGGCCAGACATCCAGGACACCCAACAAGCCCTTTGTCCATACGTCTGCCAGTGAGCTTCATACGCCAGTCGTTGAAGGTTTGGAATCAGGGTTTAGCCATCTCCCCTAGACCGTCATCCGATGGACAGTCAACCCGGTGGAGGCCGGCCTTTTGAAAGTAAAGAATTTACATTCCGTTTTCAACAACTAGATATTAAGAAGATTGGAACAACATCACATTATCCAAAAAGCAAATGGTCTGACAGAGAGAATTTGCCGTACACTGGAGGAGTGGTCGACCTCAATGTGAGGTAACTGGGAAAATCTGTCTCCATTAATTCTACTAGCACATCATGCTTCCGTCCAAGAAAGAACAAAGAAGTAACTGTTACAGTTGATTTATGGGAGGAAACCATGACTACTAATACACGACAAGACCTGTACCCTTCATCAAGAGTGGAGTATGAAGAGACTGCGAATGGAATAAAAAGAAGCAGTCAAGAATGTCAAGTGTAAACAGAAGATATGGGCGTTGTGAAATCTGTACAGTGAGGAAAGACTAAATGCGTAACGTTTGATTTCGGAGATCAAGTGAAGGGAAGAGAAAAAAAGTAGGCGATTTGATGTGCATCAGGTTCATAGAAACTTCCTTCCAAAGTAGGAAGGAGCATACACTGTTACCCAGAGACATGGTCCCGTTTATACGATCAGAAGAGGAGACAAACAGAAACTTGTTAACACAAGCCAACTACAGAGATATGGATACAGTGGGATATACAAGTCGGTAACAAGACACAACAAGACTAGTTAGAATAAAGACGGTTACAGCACCGCTTCCAAAAACTATTTAACAAGAGGATGTGTATAGTGTGTGCTACTGACAGCATTTATAAGTAGTATATAGGTACATATGTTATAATGTACATCATCTGTAAATATATCGAATACTAGATAGATGGTTTTAGTGCTGAAGAAAAGAAATAAACCATGCTTGTGAATAAAAAAAATAGAAGTCACTAAAAAAAGACAAAGAAGTACAATACGGAAAGCATGTGCAAACTGTGATTTTAATGTATGACAGGTGTATTTTTCCTATATGTATACTGTCTCTCTGTCTCTGTCTGTCTGGATTCAACATAGAACTTGGCACCGAAGTGCACCAGTTCGAGTTGCCACGTTCCAAATAACACACAGAGGTAGACAAGAAGATGAGTGAAGAGAATCAATACAGTCTGACAAGTGAAACAGAATGGGTAATGGTAGAAAGGAATATGAAAGATTACAGAGACTGAATACATCTGCGCTGGCCATTGACAACGATTTTGAGCCTTGTCACCTATTGTCTCCAGCCATTGATTCCTAGAGTCCCGAGGGCCCCAACCCGGGAGTCTGCATCTCCCTACCTGACTCAGTTTAACTGTCAAGGATTTCATGGATTGATGCCATGTTTTCGTTTGGCCACCACTGGCTCTTTTACAACCTGAACCTATATCAGCTAGTAATGCCCGTCGGGAGAGGCGATGGTTAGGCATGCGCAGCACGTGACCTAGCCATCTTAGTCTATGTAACTTTATAGCCTCGTCGATTGATTTTCCCTCTTTGCCCAACACTCTACGCCTAACGTCAACATTACTTACCTTATTAAACCACCTAACGTGAGACAGAGATCGCAGACATCTATGATCGAAAGCAGTCATCGAGTTGTCAGTAAGTAATTCGGTCGCCAGATACTTTTGTCTTATGTCGTTACAGTATTATATTTATCTTCATTGACTCTTTTCAATTGTATGTATTTGACCGTCATCATCGTCATCACTATTATGATCTACTTACATTCCCCTAACATTCTGTCATGGAACCTCTTCTAGTTAACTAGTCGCCATTAAACCCGAAAGAGTAGGGAACTCTGGAGTGAGGGTGGCAATTCATCCCGTGAAAAACAAATCCATTGCTATTCAAGTATCGGTTTGTAGGATTTGTTTGATTGGTTACAGGATTTCATCATGAGTTGACATTGGTTAGAGAACCATTGGAAAACCTGCAGGGAGTACTGGACAGCTGTTTCGTCCTAATTTGGGACTCTTCATCAGTACGCACCAACCGGGGTTCGAACCCATAGGAGGGTAGTTACCTGGAATTCCAGTGAGAAGTCGTGACCAGCAAGGTGCAGCAGGTCGGGTGTGAGGACAAATACTCGCCGAAGACGTTGGCTAGCGGTTGCGCTATATCGTGAATTGATAGAAGTTAGAATTCATGGGCCATTGTATCGGGTCCCAGTGGCTTAATGGTCTACGAGCTTGCTGGCCTTGTAACCAGGAGGTCCTGGGATCGAACCCCATGTGGTGAGTGTGTACTGATGAAGAGTCCCAAACTAGGACGAAACAGCTGGCTGTCCAGTAATCCCAGGTTTTCCAATGGTTCTCTAACCAATGTCAACTCATGATGAAATTCTTTAACTCCATTGCTACTGAAATTTAGAAACTCGGAATAAATGACCTTATTCTCTGGTAGAGTTAGGAAGACTCTTCAATTGGAGGTTGGATGATGCTGGCAGGCGAAAAGTGAGATATGTATCTGAATCACTCAGTAGTGCGGTCAGAAACGTTGTTCAGGTTCGTGATTAATCTTCTGTATGACTGTAATAGATACTTTGATTTGACACTAGAAAGTAACTAAGGCTATGCGTCTAATCCTTCGTTCCGTGCAGAGTGACAATTGTCAGCAAGTAAAAGGCTTCGTGTCGATAACCTGCTACTACCATTTAATAACAAGAATTACAGAGTGTTTCGTGGTGATGAGCCATCTAGCAAACTTGACTGGTCGAAGTCACTCCTCAACAAACGAAGTATGGAACATATGACGCTAGATACTACCTAGTGTCCAGTCGATCTATGAGTTGTTCCCATATACCTTGCTTAAAGTACCTATTAAAGTCATTTTTGTTTTTTTTTCTTCCTTTCTGTATTACAGCTGGTATCGTTTACCCTTATGTCTTGGTCCTGTATCACTCTTAAATTTACCAATATCCAATTGGACGTATTCAGGCAGTGAATGCTTAGCACAATGCTTACCTGGAAAACTTCAAAAAGCAGAAAAAAACAAAACCACACATTCTTTATCGCATAGTACTAACGCTAACAGTAATCCTAATAACTCTTCCCTCACAGTACCTGTGAGCAGTACTCAATCAATTGTAAATCATAATCCCAACGGAGAGAACAATATATTCACTAGTCTCAGTGGTATTTCAATACCTAATAGCTACTTATCCTTTTTAAGTGGTTGTTCAAATTTCAACGATTTTGTTGATATATCTACAGACAGTGCTACAGTACTACAAAAGTCTACGCATTCATTGTTTCCACTGTCAAATTATCCACCGGAATTACTTATTCATTTAACAGATATTATCTCATTTATGCGATATAATTTCATTACAAATATTGATCCATCGAATAATGCCAATAATATTATCTTACCAGATTTACAAGATTGGCATTTGTACGGTTTACTAGATGTGGAACCGTTACATTTCCCACTGGATAAATTATCACTACAGTTGAGCGATGATTGTGAAGTAGAACGCGTAGATTTCTGTGAGTTGTTTTTCTTTTTTTTGTTATTATTATTGCTATTTGGAGTTAATTTCAAGCTTGATTTGTCTGTCTGTTTTCGACGTAGAACTTTGCATCGATGTGCACCAGTTCAAGTCGCCACACTCCCTCCGTGTACCACACAAAGCAAGAGAAGAAAGTAGAAGGAATGAATAACAGCGACAGTAAACAGAGGTGTGAGACGAAAGGAATAGTAATAGTAACGAAGAACAATATAGTTTCATTGGAAATCATAAGTCACAATGAGTAGATGCATCTGCACGAGCCATTGAGAATGATTTTGAGCCATATCATTAATTGTTTCCAGCCCTTGGTTTTTATCGTCCGAGGACCCCAACCAGTCAGGAAGTCTACACCTTCCTACGTGAGTGGCTGGCTGGCTTCAACTAACTGTTGTGGATTTCATTGATGAAGCCATGTCTTGGTTTGACCACCACTGGCTAGCTCTTTTCCAGCCTGACCAATCCTATGTCAGGTAACATTACCTGTCGAGGAAGGCGATGACTAGGGATGCATGTATAACACATGCCCTAACCATCTCAGTCGATGTAATTTCACAGCCTCGTCGATTGATTTCCCCTCCCACCTACCCACCACTCGACCGAAGCCTAACCTGAATATTGCTCACCTTATTATACCACTTCACACGGGAGATAGAACGCAGGCACCTATGATCAAAGACAGCTAATCTTTTCATGTCTTCCACTCTCAATGGCCAGGTCTCACAGCCAGGCATAAAGGAGGACGGGCTGATGAGCAGTACACCCGCCCTTTGGTCTATAACCAGCCAGCCGGATATCACGTCTACGCCAGGGACGGCGTAGACTGGCAGGCATATGCGAGACTAACCATCTGTATCCGTGCTGAGATTTCGTCTTTCAAATCTCAAGCTTGACCACAGATTGATATAAGTTAGAAAATAGTTGGGAAACGGCAAAGTACTGGACAGTCGTCTCATCCTGGTTTAGGACTGTTCAGCAGTACCCGCACACCGGGGTTCCTACCCAGAACCATCCGGTTACAAGGCCACCTTGTAGACCACTGTGTCACTTGGACCCCTGATCTATTAGCCCATGAATTCTGACTTCTGTCATTTCATGATTTTAGAGTAACCCCCTGTCAATATAATTGGCAAGTATTTTTCCTTACGTTCCACCCCTTCTAAGTAAACTGTGTTCTTACCATTGATCGTCCAGGAATACATTTTTTTTCTCTCCATATCTGTTATGTTTTCATAACAATCTGTTAAGCAGTGGTAACGAATCGTTGACTATTCTGTCAAGCAGAATACAATATAAGTGCATTTACTGTATTCAAGTTTGTATCACATTTATGTCGTCTTACGGAGTGTAGTACTCCAAACCTTTATCAACCTTATTCAACAACTAGATGACAATATCACATATCAAGTGGTTCACAACGGTAAATTCAGAGATGCTTTTGAAGTGAATACAGGACTAATTTAAGACTGCCTACTATCATCAATCTTCTTCCTGATTGTGGTTGGACTAGATCATGAGGCAGGTCATGGGGAGCTAGAACACAGGAATATGTTGAACTGACAAGAAGATGTACAGACGGAAACCAAAAAGTTGATAGGAGAGTGAGGCAGCAAAAACAGGGCTTTAAAAGTATACAGAAAAGATAAACGTAATGAAGATGTCTTACCCTAACTAACTGGAATTACAAGAAGTACCAATCATCATCACTATCAACAGCAGAAATATGAAGGATGTTACTTCTTTCACTTACCTTGACCGCGTCGTCCTAACTAAAAGTAACCCGGATGAAAATGTCATAGACAGGATAACAGAGGCATGGCAGACCTTCATTACTCTGAAATCAACGCGAAAATCTCCTGCACTCCGCACAAAGTACAAAAATTGGATTTTTAATTCTTTTGTAATGGACATGATGTGTCACGGAAAGTATGTCGAATAGACTTTAAAATTTTACCAACATCTCTCTTTATTGACTTCATACTGAAGATCAGATGACCAACCAGGAAGAATTAGTAACAAGGAACTCTCTGGCAATAAATCAATCAAGAACTCATAGCTCAACAGATTATTATTATTATTATTATTATTACTGTTTCCTTTAGTTCCTAGAGGAACATAGGGCTTCAGACGCACGTCTCCATTGCGTCCGGTTCTCTGCCAACGTTTTCACATAGCTGCACACCTGCCCACATGCCTTCATCTCCTCTTCACTTTACCTCCTTCACCATGTCACCCTCGCACTGACGACCAACTCGCCGCTTCCCGTTCGGGTTCCACTCGAGCAACGGCCTGGCGTGCGATGTCACTTGATAGATTTCTCAGAGTATGTCCAATCCGCCTCCGTTTCTTCCTGCTTATTTGTTGCACAATTGGTTCCTTCTGCGTCGGTTCGCTCTCAGAGATCCCTGTTTCTAATCTTTTCTGGCTGGCCATCTGATCTTGAGGAGTATTGAGCGAATACAGCTGTTGATGAAGCTCTGTAGTTTGTTCGAAGTGTTTTCCATGACGCGCTAAGTCTCTGATCCATATAGTAAGTAGCACTGACTTCACATTGGCGCAGAAAATCTGGATCTTATTTTCGCCATGCTGAGTGCTGTTGATCTTCACAGAGACTTAGGAGAAATGAAAGCTTGCCTTGCCTTCCCGGTGATCCTCGCTTTGATATCGTCATCAGTTCCACCTGTAGTTGAAACAATGCTTCCCAGGTAGGTGGTAAAAGAGGTTGCTTTCTTTAACTTTCTCTCATTCATGCTGATTGTTGTCAGCCCAACAGATATTCCGAAGAAAATGGAGATGTATCGGGACACACACACACACTGAGGACCGTTGAGTGATGTCGTCGCTTGACTAGAAGCCGAATCGAAAACGGGGATAATATGAAGGAGATGAGACGTTATAGCCAATCATGGAGCCACCTGAAGAGGAGTGATAAGAACTGTTTGTTTCAGCGAAATTTAGGGGCATAAGTAGCTTGCTTGAAGTTTTTGAGATGCTGCAAATTCTTAGTGAGATCATGCAAAAATGCCAGCAGGTAGGACCTTTGCGTCAATTTTTTGTCATTCTCTTTTCATTAACAGAATAACTGTTTGGAAACTGTCTCCTGAAAGTTGCATATTGCATAAAATTTCCATTGTTCAGTTTGTTTTAGTCAAATAAAATATGATCTCTAAAAATATGAATGACTTTGGCGAATACTTAAAATGTTTACAACCTACCAATTTGCAAGTTTCTACTAATCTTTAGTAAAAGTATCGCAATACATAAGGTAACTGTTCCTAAACTGTGTCCTTTGTTCTTGAAACGTACTCCAGAGTTCGTTAATAATCAATATTCAACCAGATGTTGTGGATGTCTCGAAAAAGATGAAGAAGAGATAGATAGCATAGTGGTTTGGTTTGAGCTGCCAGTCAAACAGCATATTGTCACACTGTAACAACAAAAAACAAGGGCCAGGCAACAGATCGTTTTTTAAGGAAATCAACACATATTTATATATTTTCATGTAAATTATTATAGATTATCTAAGCAAACAAAGACAGTCCTCTGATTGGTTATTTCTCGCTGAAAGTTAGTCTTTCATCTCTTCATGGCTGTTTCCTGAATATCAGATCATCTATATGTCAACTGTATCTGCCTACGCAGTTTTTGTTCTCATTTTTCTCACGACCAATATTGGGGACATAAACATTGACGTAAATTACTGTCTACCAACTTTGGCTAGCAGCCAGCTCTCACTACAACACTGTCTACTGTCAGTTAATATTTGATCTGAAGATCCTGGACGAATAGAAAATATCATGCAATAAACTCCGGTGAAAATTCTGTACATTATATTATGAACACTGTTCAGTCAATGAAATCCACAACAGTTAGTTTAAGCCAGCCAGCCACTCACGTAGGAAGGTGTAGACTTCCTGACTAGTTGGGTTCCTCGAGACAGTAAAAACCAATAACGGGCTGGAAACAATTGGTGATATGGCTCAAAATCATTCTCAATGGCTCGTGCAGATGCATCTACTCCTTGTGACTTATGATTTCCAATGAAACTATATTGTTCTTCGTTACTATTACTATTCCTTTTGTCTCACACCTCTGTTTACTGTCGCTGTTATTCTTTTCTTCTCTTGCTTTGTGTAGTACACGGAGGGAGTGTGGCGACTTGAACTGGTGCACATTGGTGCAAAGTTCTATGTCGAAAACAGGTAGACAGACAGATAGAATAGTATTCAGAATAATGCAGTTTTTATTACAATTATTATTACAGTGTCTATTTATTATGTAATTGTATTATGATTCTTATTTGTTGCTTTACGTTTTTACAGTTACTGGAGAACTTTTGGTTGACAGTGAACAACATTGTATGACAATTAATGAATCACAAATGAATCCAAGCGAAAAACATCGTCTTTCTGATGCATTATCTCATTTAACAGATCCCGTGGAAGCCTATCATTTAGTGATATCCCGTATGCATCCAGGAGCACATCGTTCAGTTACTTTCAGTTTCAATGCTTTAAATAAAAAGCATAACCATCTATCATCCTCATCATCAGTAAATTTACTCACTGATATTATAATTCCAGTTAATCCATGCCTACAGTGTATCACTCTTGAAGCTTTACTGGACAATCCAGCAGGTAGTCAATCGTCCAAAAAAACACTAACAAAATTGATAGCTGTATCAACAGATATTGCTTGTTCAACCCTCGTGTTACGTGATATTCATCCACCGATTGAATTTACTCGTCTGCGTATATCGATTGTCGGTCGTTTAGACTATCCACATGGTAAAGCACGTATTCATCTTGGTGCGTATTTTGGTAGAGCTGGTCTATTAATGGACTGTTTCAATCCTATTCAATTCAATGCTGATAATCGTGCATTGAATATATTCAAGTGTTTAGATAGTCTTATAATGAGTAGAACAACAGAGTTTATCACTGTTCAACAGAAATTATTAAATATTTGGAATCAAAGTGATAAAAAGCCCATAGTAACTAGAAACAAAGATGAAAGTGAAGTGTAAGTATGTTTACTAATAATTAATGATGATTATTAAATGGAGATTATTATATATGTGATATTATGGGAATTAAGAAAAGCTATTGAAGTTACTTATTCACTACCTACAATTCTACGCTAATTTAATTGAACTATCACGATATCAATAAACGTGATGTCCAAGTGACTGTTGATCAAAGGACGTTTATACTGCACAGCACCAGTTCGCTCCGTCCTCCTTTATGGGTTCTGAGACACGGACACTCAAAGTGGAAGATATGAAAAGGCTAGTTGTCTCTGATCATAGGTGTCTGCGTTATGTCTCCATTGTTAGATAGTATTATATGGTGAGTAATATTGAGCTTAGGCTTTGGTTGAGTGTTAGTTAAGTAGGGTAAGTCAGTCGACTGACTTGATCACTTCACTTATTTTGAGGGGGAAGTTGCATCAGCCACTCCATAAGGGTTGATCGCTGACGAAATCTCCTCACGGATACAGAGGGATAGTTTCGCACATGCCTTCCAGTTTACGCTGTCTCTGGCGTAGACGTGATATCCGGCTGGCTCGACATAGACCAAAGGGTGTCTGTACGACTGAGCGGTCCTATCCATCCTCCTTAACAGTTGTGAAACCTGGCCATTGAGAGTGAACGACATAAAAAGCCTGTCTAGTTTCTCTTTGATCATAGGTGCCTGAGTTCTATCTCCTGTGTGATGTGGCATAATATGGTGAGCAATATCGAGGTTAGGCGTCGGTTGAGTGGTAGGTAGATGGGAGGGGAAATCAATTAATGAGGTTGTGAAGTAGCTACATCGATTGAGAGAGATGGTTAGGACATGTGTTACGCATGCATGCCTAACGTCACCTTCCTCGACCGACGGACAATGTTAACTTTCATAGGATCGATCAGACTGAAAAAGAGTTAGCGGTGATCAAACCATGAAATCTTTAACAGTTAGTTTGAGCCTCATTAAAAGGTGTAGGCTGCCTGGTTGGGTTTCTCGGAATTCTAAGAACCAATTAGCTAGAGACTATTGGAGGTATTATAGCTCGAAATCCTTGTGGATGGTGCGATTGCATTCCGTCTGTGATGATCTGCCATATTCATTAAACCCTAAATATTTTCATGTTACTATTTCTTTTCCCTGACTTTTCTGCTTATTTTATATTGTACTTACAATTATATTTGTTCTCTTTTTTTTGTTTCCTTTTGTATGATACATGAAATGTGGCAATTTGAACTGATATACTTCTGTGCGAAATTCTGTATTGTAACCAGTCAGTAGTCAATCCGTCTGTCATGTCCATTCAGACCTGTCTGTCTGTCTGTTTTCGACATAGAACTTTCCACCGATGTGTGGCAGTTCAATTCTCCACACCCCCTCCATGTACCACACAAAGCAACAGAAGAAAGTAGAAGAAATGCATAATACAGACAGTAAACAGAGGTGTGAGACAAAGGAGTAGTAATAACGAAGAACAATACAGTTCCACTGGGTATTATGAGTCACAAGGAGTGGATGCATCGGCGCCAGCCATTGGGAACGATTTTTAGCCATATCACCAATTGTTTCCAGCCCGTCATTGGTTTTTACCGTCCCGAGGACTCCAGCAAGCAAGTCTACATCTTCCTACATGACTGGCTGGCTTAAACTAACTGTTGTGGATTTCATTGACTGATGAAGCCATTTTTTGGTTTGACTACCAATGACTTGACTCTGAGTCAACTAAGGTTGCCCCTTGTCGATGAAGGTGATGACTAGGCATACGTAACACATGTCCTAACCATCTTAGTCGATGTAACTTCACAGCGTCGTCTATTGATTTCCCCTCCTATCTACCTAGCACTCAACCGACGCCTAACCTCGATATTGCTCGCCATATTATGCCACATCACACAGGAGATAGAACCCAGGCACCTATGATCAAAGACAACTAACCACGTTTTTCATGTCTTCCACTCTCAATGGCCAGGTCTCACAGCTATAAAGGAAGACGTAGCGGACCGATGAGCAGTTCATATGCCCTTTGGTCTATGGCCAGCCGAATATCATGTCTACGCCAGAGACGGCGTAAACTGGCATGTGCGAAACTAGCCTTCTGTATTCGTGCTGAGATTTCGTCAGAGATCAACCCGTTGGGGCTGATGGTACTTCCCAAATAAGTGAAGTGATCAACGTGCTCTACCACTTCACTTCATATTTCTGAACTAGAAGGCAGTGCAGTCCAGTCCTGTAACATCATCTTGCATTTTACGGCGGGAGCGAATCGCATGCCAAACATTCGTAGATTGCAGCTCAAGGTGTTCAGAAGACTCTGCTTGTATTTTGTCAGCATCCTCGACTAGAAGGACTATATCATCTGCATATTCTAAGTCAATGAGATTATTCCCTGGTAGCAAGTCAATCCCCGAGTCGCTGAAGTCACTTAGGGTTAAGTCCATTAGTACATCTATGATGAAGTTGAATAGAAAAGGGGATAATGGGCATCCTTGGCGGACACCACTAGTTGTCACCACTTCAGATGACAACTCACCGTAAGCCCTCACCTGCATTCAGACCATTGCTCTATCATTTCATAACTTTGTGGAATGTCCTGAATTTTCCTGGATTATTTCGTTTTCTTCAGAAGTTCTCTTATTTTCTTCATTTTTTTTATCCCACCTAGGTTTTTATAAATTTGTGTGTGTATGTGTGCGTGTGTGAAATTTTAATCATGTTTGTGTTTTTTTAATTATCCCCTAATATAGGCCATCATCTGTATTATCTGATAGTAGTGATCTGGAAATGTCATTATTATACAGAAAATGTTGTAGCCTTCAATACCAAATAAATTGGTTGTGTCGTACATCGACTCGTTTGAGAAATGGATACTATCCTGAAAGTGCTTATGAATATAGAAATCGAATTTGTGAAATGGTAAGAAGAAGAGTAATGCAAAAATGTATATGTTTGTTGTTCTTTTATTCACTTGTTGTGTGTGTGTGTGTATATACATTATCAGTGATTTTCTGTATTCACTTCAATTAGTGTTTTTATTTTATTGAGATTTCGATTAAAGTACTATTACTCAGTGGGTGGAAATTATTATTATTATTATTATTATTGTTCCCTTGGGTTCCTAGTGGAACATAGGGCTTCAGCTGCACGTCTCCACACGCTTCTGTCTTCCCTCTGCTGTACTATTCACCTGCATCCATCTTAGCCCATAGTCTTTCAACTTCTCTTCACACGATCTCCTCCATGTCACCCCTGGACGTTCCACTCGAGTAATGGCCTGACGCGCTCGCGATGTCACCCAGCGAGTGTCTAATCCATCCAATCGACTTTCCCCTGCATATTTGTTGGTTGGCCGATTGCTCCTTGTTTTGTTTTGTTTGTTCCCATAGCTTCTTGTTGGTGATTCTTTCCGACCCGGCCATCCCAACTTCAGTATAGAGCGAAGACAGTTAGTTGTTGATAAAGGTGTGCAATAACCAGCCTGTTGGAAATATTCTTTGTGACCCTCCCACCCGCCAACTTTCTGATCCGTATAGAAGAACTGACTGACTTGACGTATGTATTGAAAATCCGACGGAATTTTGTTGTTGATGCTGGCTGAGTGACGAAGATTTCCAGATTGGTTGTTTCAGGTTGATGAATGTGTTTCTCGCCTTCCCGATGATTCTCGATTTGACATCCTCAGCCGTTCCAACTGCCTGTAGTTGAGACAATGCTCCCTAGATAAGTAAGTGAATAAAATAACCTCTTTCAAATCCTCCCGTTGATAGTGATTGGCGCTGGATGTTGCTGCTGTTGTTGTTGGTTGGTTGGCTGGTTATTTTCATAACCTCCGTCTTGTCTATGAACATGTCCACCAATTCACTGTGAATACATGCATGTACAGGCTAGTCGACGAGTTTATTGAAAAGGAAATTCCCTCCACTGCAACCATCTTTTTAATCTTTCCGTGAAAATTACCAGCTGGACTGAACGTTTATGAATATATAACAAATGGACCAGTGGAACACTTTGACTTTGGCGTTTGAAATGATGTATACAGGGTTCTAATCTCAGTGGAAGCATCATTATTCACTGGGAAGGGGAGTGCAGCTAAATGCATATGACGAGTCCCAAGATGGGACGAAATGAACATCCTGGATTCAGCTGCCAGTGACTATTCATTAAATTTCCTCAGGGTAATCCTTATACATATCCACCAAATTTCATTTTGTTTACTCCATTATTTCCTTTATTATTGCAAACATATTTTTATCGTAATTAATATTTTATTTTGGTTTTACACTTACATTTAGTCTGATGAACAATTGAAAAAGGATTTGTATCCAGATAAAATTCGATATATTTTAGAACGTTGTTTACTTTGCTTACTAAGTCACTCAAACAGTCTGTTGTCTCTAGTCAAGCCGATATCACCGTCACCAGTACTACCGCCTACTGAATCAGATAATAATCAAGCATTTATTCAATATGTTGACGAGTGTTCCACTAATATTTTGCATGATATGCTTATTCATGGAAGTCGTTCAATGCAGGTGAGTCATTTTTTTTTCTTATTTTCAAGAGTTATGGCGGATCCATTCAGACAGACCTTACACATGCGACTATCTACAGGGATCCAGTCAAGTAGTGATTTTTCCCCCTAACACTCAGTGCTATCCCTACACCTGCGAGTCCTCGCGAGCTACCTGAGGGGTCTCCTGACACCCTTAGAGTGAATTATGCAGACTCACCTGGTTGACTGGGTGAGATTAAGTGAATGACCACACTCGGGTCTTGTATGCGTGTCTCCGAAACACAACATACATTTATGGCTGGAGATGCCAGAGTTCTTGCAAGTGATGCGTGTTGTCTGATTCGGCAGAGGGTCCTGATGTTATATGCTCCTATATGAAGTTGGCTACGTGGCTTTAAAAGGCTACCTGGGGTGTTTCTATGGCTCTCACCGTTGTTTGTGGTTACAGAGTGAAGTGAAAATGACTAACTAGCCTGCAGAATAGTACTAACTGTAGTAGAGAAGCTAGATGAGGAAGGTGATGTGAGTAAAGGGGAATGATGCTCAGGAAGTCTTCGTGTGCTTTTGGAAGTGTGTGGGCGGTTGTTATTTCCCGACTGCCCACACCGTGGAAGTTGATTGATTCTTCGGATACCTGAAATAGAAAGAGGGTTAGTGTTACGTGACCGCGGAGCCCAGGGGACAACTGCTTGAGGCCGGTCACACACGGCCTGTGTGAACTGGTTTCTTGGTTTGTTTCCGTACTAGTAAACTTGCCACCGGCTACGGACCACTGTAGGGTAAGTCGGGATGTACATTTTTGGGGTCGACCTTTTCTAACCCCCTCTCTCCAGAGTCGAGAGACAGCATAGTTGGCATGCTGGTCATCTAAGGGAAACACCTCACTGCTGTTACACCCCTGTCTCCAACAATATGACTTCTCCCACAGACCCCGAGTATAGTGTAAAAAAGAAATTCTTACACGATGCCGGTAACTCCTTTTAGTCTGATCGCTATACCGACAACCTTCCTGGCATGGTAGGACCTGCAGGAACGTTTGTTCCAGCCAGTGTAGCTTGTTTGGTCATCGCTATGTGCAAGCCCGACCACCACGTCAAGGTACAGCTATCTGTCGGGTTTTTAAGAGTTAATTTCTATGAGTTTGATTTGTTTCAAGTTTGACTACGTAGTTATATCAGCTAGAGAAGCATTGAAAACCACCATGGAGAGTGAGTGCTGGACAGCCGTTTCATCCTAGTTTCTAACTATCCAACAGTACTCACCCACAAGGGTTCGTACCGAGGACCTACTGGCTAGATATGACGTGTGCGCAGAATATCGGCCACTTGAACTCGATCCAGTGGTCCGTGAATTTCAACAACAGCTGCCAGCCAATATCGTCAGTGGATAGTTGTTCTCACAGCCGCCGACCACCTGATGTTGAGGGGACCCAACTGGTTACAGCTTCTCAGAACTAGAACTCCAGTCAACTTCGTTCTTTAGTTAGTCAATGGCGACCATACTGCCAATGGGTCTCAGACTAGGAGGAAACAACTGTCCAGTACTCCTTGGTCTTCAAGCGTTTATAACTGATGTCCTTCGTCCATATATCTCTGTTTGATTTAACTGATGAATTTTATAGTTCGCCTCTTTATTCGTTTTTGTCAATCACTTTCAGTTATCTCTGCATTATATTGTTTAATTCATCATGAATAGGAGTACAATTAGCAGGAAACCTGCTTTCAGGAACATTGAAATCTACTGAAAACAAACAAAAACCTAGTAAATGATAGGCATCAAGAGATTTGTCACATGGAACCTCGTAGTTTTTGTGGAAGGCCGGAATACCGATCGTATACTCAGACTGAAGAAGGTGGTTGTCTTCAGGGACTATCCCACGTCTCAACCCTTTGACTTAAAGTTTGATCAAAAAGTCAGTGGAGAAGTGTCAGGAGTTACATTTCTATGGTTGTTAGTGACGAAAACAGGTTCAAAAAGTATTTTGGTCCTTTCGGATTGTGAAGCCCATGTACGCGTCATAGGTTTGAAATTAAGATTCTCCAGCTCGTCTAGGTGGATCTGTATATGTCCATCATTCCGGTTATAAACTCTAGATGTTCAGATTTGCCGTCCTACTGTTGTGTGAACACCCCTGTTTCTTGAAGGCAGTCAACAGGCCTTACATGGTGTGATAGCTATGAACACGGGGCAACAGGAAAACATTTCCAGAGGAAAGACTGAGATCTACCCACACTCTGCCGTAGCATTTCAACTGTCATGCCTATTGTCACTTATGTGTTCGTCTTTCCAACTTCAGACACTCGAACCATTTCCCCCCCAGGCTAATAGGGAAAATTAATAGTCCTAGGCGTGGCACTACATTAGCATCTTGTGCAATGTACTAACATGTAACAAAGTAGAACAATAAAGAAGTGGTAATTTCGTTATTCAAGTTTTAGTTTGTAGGAATTTGATTGATTGGTTACACGATTTCATCATGAGCTGACATCGGTTAAAGGGCTATTGGAAAACTAAGCAATACTGGACAACTGTTTCGTCCCAGTTTGGGACTCTTCATCAGTACGCACCCACCACAAGTGGTTTGAGCCCAGGACCTCCTGCTTCCAAGGTAAGCTCGTAGACCATTAAGCCTACTGCGACCCTATCCGATGGCCCATGAATTTTAACTTCTGTCAATTCACGACATAGCGCTACCACTAGCCAATGTCATCCGCGGCGAGTATTTGTCCTCACACCCAACCTGCTGTACCGTATGGTCAAAACTTTGTATTTCCCGGTTTTATCTTGATATTAATAAGTTTTGGTGGTGTTTACGGATTTTGTTTTGCAGTCTTCGTTTGATGTTTTTAATGTTCCTCACCGATGTTATGATACATTGCATATAATCAAAACTAAATCTCAGTCATTTTTCTGTATAATAAAGGGTTGAAAATGAATTATGTAACACCTGATTTTTATGTCTTTTTGTATATTTCACCTTGTAGATACTCATTGTTGGACTAATGCCAGTTTTAACAAAAATCAATTCTCTGCTCTCGATTGCCTCTTCAACTCCTAATGAGCATAATTTCCTTTGTAAATTTATCAGAGAATTTAATGCCTCCACTAGTTTAATAAAGACTAAGCCACAACTTTCAATGATTTATGAATCTAGAAGACATTTGTTGTACTGGGCTGTTATTCAACGTCTTATACATTTTGGAATGACAGGCGACTTGTTGAATGCTTCTGTTTCTATTCTACAAAATGTCTGGAATTCTATAGACAAAGCTGAGTCGAATATTTTCACTGATGTTCTTCAGTTAGTGGATACAATCATAGAAAATGGTTGTTCATCTCTTCTTACTCTACATAAATCATTCTCCAGTCTACTTACATCACTTGATGCGTGTCAATCAGCCTATTGTGGTCAAACAGGCGTAAATGGTCTGCTTAAATGGCATTATTCTCATCAGCTTCATAATGTTGATCGTCGTAATCTTGTCTATCCATATTGTCAAACGAGAACTACACGTGTCACAAATGGTGCATACACGTATGACGCGATATCTCATTACCAGTTGTGTCTTATTTCTTTTTATCGTTTACATTTGGAGTGTTTGACAAGATTATCAACTCAATATGTAGGTATGTATGTATTTGATATCGATTGTGTAATCTATTTTCACATTTAATTGAATTTGAGATTTTCGCGTCGATTGATCGGACCGAAGTGCTCGGTCTTAGATTGACATGTTGGCTTCTTATGCAGATGCTTCGACGGTGTCTGGGCATTTAGTTAGTATTTAATTGATGGATGGTGACTAGCAGTGGAATCCAGGATGCGCATTTCGTCCTATTTGGGAGTCGTCACTGGATGTACCTGCACTTCTCAGTGAGTGATGATGTTTCCACCGAGGCCTCGAACCCAACGCCCAAGTGGTCTAGTGGATAACGGTTTGGCGTTTGAAACTATGGGCACTGGGTTTTGTGGGAATTCGATTGAGTACAGGTATGTTCACTAACTAACATCAGTTAGAGAACCACTGAAAAACTCGGGGAGTACTGGATAGCTGATTTCTTCTAGTTTGGGACTCTTTAACAGTATTCGATGGTTGGAGGCAATCAGCCACAGGAACCCTTGCTTGACCTAGGTTTCGTGCTATTTGGCACTCACTAGTCAGCAAGGCGTATCTGCAACCTTGAAGGAATTCATGTCCCTTCTGAGATTCGAACCCGCGTCACCCAGTGATAGCTGCAGTCAGAGACGTTACCACTGAGCTATTCGGGTTCGCGATTGACCATCAAATCAATGTGCACCGTGATGGCGAGCTAGCTAGAATGGTGATCACATTACAACATTATTAATAGAATTCAGTCTACACCAATCAGAGAACTAGACGCATCACACTAGTTACTAGTGTCGAATACTCTTTAACAGTACCCACCCACCGGGGTTCGAACCCACGACCTTCCAGTTGCAAGTTGAGCGCATAGACCACTCAGCCACTAGGACTGGATCCAATTCGCGATAATTAGCTCAACCACCAACCGATGTTATCGGGGAGTAACTGTCCTCTTACTTAACTTGCTTATGCCTCATAGGTCAGAAATTTCATTACGAACTGACATCCGTTAGAGGTCTATTGAAAAAGCAAAGAGTACTTGGCAGCTGTTTCATCGTAGTTTGGAACTCTTTCGCTGTACACACTAAATCAGGTAGAGGAAAAAAACAACAATTACGAGCCTATAACATTGTGATTGGCTGGTTTGAATTCATGCACCACTGAACTGCGTCTTAGTGGCTAAATGTAACTGGAAGGCCTTTGTTGGTGAGCAATGCTGAAGAATCCCAGACCTAAACGAAAGAGATGTCACGTACCCCTTGGTTTCCTATTTATTTCAGTTGATTATTTCACGAAAGATAACAAAGATTTGTTATTATTTTTGGTTAACCGGACGCTGCATTTTCACCTGTCATTCTTCCGTCAGATTATGCATCTAGTAAATAATTATAGATAAATAGAATGCAAATACGTCTACTAGAGACTGTAATGCTTATAATGTATCAGTAAAGGTATTTGTTTCACTCGACCGAAGCCTAACCTCAATATTGCTCACATTATTACACCTACCACTTCACACACGGGAGATAGATCGCAGGCAAGTATGATCAAAGACAGCTAGCCTTTCCATGTCTTCCACACAGTGTACAGAATTCTCAACGTGATTTAGAACACAATATTTTCAATTTATCCATGATTTTTTTTAGTAAAATAATAATCTATAGTATATCATGTGACGCAAATGGTGTTTGTTTTTGTTCGGTCGGTCAGCCTATCTTCGTTAGCAGTGAAGTCACGATTTAAGCATGCACTGCACTGACATGATATCCTGATTGGAAAGGTTTTCGATTTGTTTATTTTTAGCCTGAATTCCCGAGGTGTTAGTAATCTATATATATCCCATGTATTTTGAATAATAAATAATGTTGCGTTGCTGTTGTTTACGCAGTTAAATATGACCTTTGTGCTCATTTCAGTGCGAAGGTATTTTCAAGTGATCAAGTGGTAGGCTATAGGCTTGGTAACTGTACAACAATATAGACATCGTAATCATTCCTCGAAGTCATCTTTATCTTGTCTGTAGATGCTACTGGACAACTGGAACACTGCCTGCATTCAGTGCTTCACTTTCTTTTGACGAAGCTTTTCTTAATATAAAATATTCTCATAGTAGAATCTAGGACAATACACATTTAAGTGAACAATATTGTTTTGAATAAGATCTCATCTGGCCTAACTCTAATATATATAAGTTTACAAATAAAAATTCAAATATAAACCAATCATGGTGTTTTGTTTATAGGATAATACGATGGTGAATATAAATTGTGCAATTAGCCATAATAGTAGTAATGATAATAATAATAATAATGAACGAAGAATATTCTTTTCAATAATTTCTCTTCAGGTTCTTACAATTATAAAATATAATATTTGTGGTCGTTACAATAAAAAGGCCAGTTATGCGGTGGATACATTTTTAACGTAGAATAACAGATTAGCTATGGGGTGTCAAAATAAATAGTCATATTTGTGTGGCAAACGTGCTAGGCTAAAATCGATTAAAAAATATTGTAAAACGGGAGACAATGGTGGTGATTAATCATAATGGAATTGTAGAGTGTGGGATAGGAAAATTGACAAATCAGTTCAAGGTTATAAAAGGTGTCAAATGAGTGAGTAGCCAGTACAAAGTGGTTTGTGTTAAACAGGAGATAGTAAGACTGCAATGAGAGGATCATAGTGAGATAACGAATATATTAAATGAAACAGGTGAAGGCATATATTGAGAAAAGAGATAATATCACTAATAATAAGTCCGGATAGTATAAATGAAAAATTCAATAGTATTGAGGGAATGTTTGCATAGAGGGCATAAATTATGACGAATAATATTAATAACTGTAATAATAATATCTATAATAATAAGCAAAGTAAAAAAAGAAAAAAAACCAAGAGGGTTATGGGGAAGGAACACTCTTGGTGAGAAGAAAAATCATCATTCCAAGGTTGGCCACGGTTGCGAAATTATTGAAAAGAATATTCTTCGTTCAGATTGACTTTTAATTCATAATATGGGAATATTTCACACTATCAAATCTTATAATAATAATAATGGTTTTATCGATAATAGGGATGAAAAAGTGAGGCAATCTGTGATAACACGAATGATGAAAAAACGGTATGATTAAACAAACAAATGTTCAGGTGGACGTGGTAGTTGATAAAGGCTAGTGAAAACAAATGAACCGATTACGTAATGTTAGATTGTAAGGGAAGTGAGTGAAACACGTTTATAATGAAGATGTGATAAGATTAAGGGATGATAAGAGAGGGATTGAAAATATGTAAGTAAGGGGTGGTGGAGAAGTCATAAGTTGGTTATGTCTTAATAGGCCAACAAGGGAGGGATAATGGCTGTACGAACTTCTTTTGAATACATACTTTAGGTTTAATAGTTGTTCGAATGCCTATCGCCTCAGCTCTGTGTGCAGTAGACGAATACGGAGTCTATTGAAAAAAGTCGGTAGAATGCAATGGATCACTTTAAGAGCTTTCGTTTTCTCCACTAGATGATCACAATCAACCAAATGTGACAAAACGAAGCTTCTCGTGGATTTTGTCTATCCATTGACGAACCATAACAGGAGATTATCAGTAACACGTTGGCTAAACTGTCCAGTAGTTCGTCCAGCATAACTGTCATCGAAGGTGCAGTTGCATTGATGCATGTACATAGATATAGCGAAACTATCCGGCTTATCCTCCGTTCGCATTCCAATAATTCGTTTACTTTGAATATAACAAACATCGGTTTGCTGTGAGAAACATTCTCCGCATACTTCTGACTAGTCTCTGGAACAAAATCTCACTTGACAAGTCACCATTAGTTTGTTACTTTGCAAATAACGTTTTGTACGTGCAGTCATAGTCTCAGGTTTTCTCTCCAATGTTTTCATATTTTTCTTCATGAAACTAATCGGATAGTCCCTCTTCTTGTGAAGGTCCATAAATCATACACGCTTTTCCCAAATGACCCATCTTTTTAACTTCTTAGCAAGACGTCCAGAAAATGTCAAATAAAATAAGGGTGTGAGTATATATTTTTGGTATAGTTTTCCATTGTCTCCAATGTATGAACAACGGTTGTTTGAAAGGCAATTAAATATGTGCGTGAGCACAGTTTGCAAATCAAGGATATAATTGAATGTTAAATGTATTGCAGCAAATGTGATGTATTGTGTTGTGATGAAATTAAAGTAGGCCACTGATACTGCCACTTAGGTATTGGACAAATTTGTCTACTTAGTTATTTGATGGACACTGACTTGCAGTGAATTCTAGAATGCGCGTTTCGTCCTACTTGGGACTCGTCAGCTGAATGTACTTTTGCCATTCTCAGGGAAATTCTCACTGGGTCTGACTCAGTGGGATCACTATCACATACACACACTGGGAATGCAAGTAGTACATCCAGATGACGAGTCCCAAGTAGGACAAAATGCATATCCCACTCTACTAGTCATCATCCTCAGACATCGTTGAAGTGTCCCCCACTAAGAGACAGACATATAAAAACGGTGGCCAAGCACTTTGGTTCAATGAAATCAACAATAAAGTTCAAATTGAATTCAAATAACAAAATTTGGTCTACTGTTATACATAAACTATTTAATTTTTTTTTCTTTTCCATGACTTTATTTTCTCTTTTAGCTAACCGTGATAGTCATTTTCAAAGCATAAAAAATGATACATTTCCATTGGGAGCATTGTTTGTACGCAGAAGTATTGACTCACAGACATCAATACTAATGCGATCTGTAAGTCCGTTGTTTTTTTTCTTTTTCCAATGAAGTTATTTATATTAAACATATATATGTTCTTCAAAACAAGTTCACTTTTAATAGTTTGAAACAATTTCGGGCATTGGGCATATGTAAAAAGGTTTTTGTATTTCCCAATGAATGAAAAATAAAAGGATATTTCTCAAGTATTGGATTTTAGGGGATTTTGTTTGATTGGTTGTAGCATTTCATGATGAGCTGACGTCAGCCGTAACCAGTAGGGTGCAGCAGCAGGTTGTAGGTGAGGCACAGAAGGAGAAGAGTTAGTGAAGTGGTCGCGCTATGTCGTGAATTGTCAGAAGTTAGGATTCATGGACTGGATGGCTGTTGGGTCAGGTCCAGTGGCTGGCGAATGGTCTACGAGTTGGCTCGCCTTGTATCCAGAAGATCCTGGGTTTGAACTATGGTGATGGGTGCGCACTGCTGAAGAGTCTCAAACTAGGCTGACGAAGCAGCTTTCCAATACTCTGGTGATGGTTTTCCAGTGTTTATCTAACTGATGATGTCAGCTCATGATGAAATCCTCCAACCAATATTATTTTTTTACTAACGTTTTGCCATTTAATGCTGCTAATAGCCTCAACGAAGTTTTATTAAACCAAACTTTTCTAAATCTCAGCTTACACATAACAACTTAATCCATCATTCATCAGTATATGGTAATTTTTACGTTGTTGGCAAGTTTGCCATTTGGTAAAGATAACAAAACCATGTACAGATTGTTAGACATAATATACCCATGAAACTCTAAAAACAGCATGCGTTTACATAAGGAAATTGCTTATCATATTTGTGTTGATTTTATCATTTTTCACGAGAGTGGGAGTGTTGCAACCACGTCGAATCCTGTCCACTTTGTGGGCGTGGGTTCGAATCCCACTCCTGACACCACTTTGTGCGTCGGTGGCACACTGATTAGGACTCTTGCTGACCATGCACATGATCCTGAGTTTGAGTCCACACCGACGCACATCTGATATCTATGGTCGGCCTGCAAAATTTGGGCTACCGATATCCATGCTGAAAATTCCATACTTGTACCAAAAATACGGTGTGGAATCAAGCTGTAATCAAAAATAAAAATAATAGTTCATCATTCCTATTCAAACAATTGGGATTCCATTTAATATAAAGTGCTTCTAATACTAGAGGATCTTTTTGATTTCAATATTGTCAAAATCAATTTTGTTGCTTGATTCTATTGTGTGTAGACCTATGGCTGAATGATGATTTTTTTAAGCTTCTCAATTGGATTTCTCAGTGGTTGATTAAAGACACACCTCTACGCTGTTCATTTCTTCTGATCCTGATTTCCCGCTAGGCTTGTCCAAGCATTTTGTTTTATGGACACAGTTGGATTATGAAACTTTTGATATTTGGTCTTTTACATGTATAATGTTACTTTATAGTGTATCTGATGTTTTCAAGAAAACCCTGATGTTGTGTTGAATGGCATAGCGTGCCAGGCTGTCGTTGGAGAGCAACTCGAATAGGAAACGACGAGTTGTTGGTGTTGGCGAGGGTGACTTGGAGAGGTAATCGTGTAAGGAAGAGATGAGAGCTTATGGTTATTCGTGGAGCCTGTTAAACAACAGTGTCACTTTAAACTACCTGAATTTGTCGCTGAAGTAGATAAGCGCTTTTGTATCGCAAGTGTACTTCTCAGCTTATTAGTTTTGTAACGACAGAAGGCAAGAGTCAGGCAACAGATCGTTTATTAAGGAAATCAACACATATTTATAGATTTTCATGTACATATTATAGATTATTGTTAGCAGAAAAACACAGTCTTCTGATTGGTTGTTCCTCACAGAAACTTAACTTTGCATCTCTTTGTCACTGTTTTTTGAATGTCAGATCACCTATATGTTAACTGTATCCGCCTACGCAAGGCCTTTGTTGTCATTTTTCTCACGACCAATATCGGGGACATTAACATTGACGTAAATTACTGTCCACCAATTTTGGCTATCACCACGATATATCTGAATTTCATCTTATCCACGAATGTCTTGAAATGTTTAGTAATACTTTCAATTCATAAATGTTATATATGAAACAGAAAGATTGAGCGAAGAAATATTTACTTTCTAATTAGATACTGATCTCTGACTCTACTCTTATATATGATGTATAGCGTTTTTATTACAATACACAACAGTTTACCGATCAACTGGCGATAAGTTTGTTAACAATAATTAGTCAGTGTCAAAATGTCAATGGGTTAATAATTAACGAACAAAATCAATACACAGTTAAAAGGTAGAAAGGGATAGAATAAATTAATTTTACAAGGATAACACGTGAATTAAAGATGAAGTGGTCAGAAAAGATAAAATAATTTGGACAATTATAATTTTTAAAGGTTTAAAGGGAAGGGGGCGAAGTAGTCCTGTTTATACATTCATGTAACAATGGCCAAGGTAAGGAAAGTGGCTGTACAAATTTTTTCTGAACACACAGGTTTGGCTGACTTCTTCAGGTGGATTCCTATTGCTTTAGCTGTATGTGGAAGACGAACTCGCAGAGCAGAATTAAGATTAGTCGGAATGCGATAGATAATTTTAAATGCAGTATTAACGTCAACCTTATGCTCACTATCTATGAGGTGTGCCAAAATAGAGCTACGAATAGATCTTGTTTGTCCCTTGCTTAACCATGCTGGATGATTTTCGGAAATACGACAATGAACCTGCCTAATTGTGCGCCTAATGTAGCTGGCTCCGCAGCTGCAGTCAAATAGGTAGATACATATAGAAGAGGCAAATTTAGGTAGTTTATCCTTACTTCTCGAACGTGGAATAGAGGTAGTTGTGAAGAGACAGCGTATATCTGCTGCATAATAACCTCTTTTAATTGCATTCCTCAGGCTCTGTATTATTATTTCTCTGATATTGTCACCGAGGAAGTGCAGTTTATGAACATTGATTTTTTTCGGAACTGTTGCCATACTGACTTTCCTAGGTGCTGAATTCATATATTTTCTCAATGAATTTATCTGGATAACCATTTTAGGTAATAAGAACAAATTAGTTCAGCGAAGAGTCTCTTTTCGGCGAATTCATTCTCTTAGCTGTACAGTCGCAAATATATACAATTAATTTTGTGTGTGTGTACATAAGGTTTGTCAAAATCAAATAACAGTTAGTGTGGGTTGTTGATTACATCATCAAAATAATAAAGAAATTAAGTTGTGTGAATAGTAATCAAAGTTGTAACTAAGTGGGGTGGGGATTGGTAAGATGTGAGTAGGGTTACGTAATATGAAAATAAACTAGATAATAGGTGAAAAGATTGAATGGGTTAGTTACTAAAAATTATTATACGAATATTGCAAAAAAAATTTGATAACAAAATGTTGATGACAGATGAACTTGAAATTAAACCCACGGTAGTAGGAGGGGGTGGAGAAGTTTCTTCTGTGTGCATAATTCAGGCTTTTCTATCCAAATCACTAAGGCTTCGGCAATACAAAGTATACGGAAGCTTGTCGATTTTGGAAGGCTTCTTTTGACTTTATAGATGACTTTGAATGACTTCTCCTTGCAAATCGAATGACCAGTGTTAAGTATATGCTCAATAATGGCGCTCCTTATTGCTCCATTGTTACCTTTCCGTAGCCAGGCGGGATAGTGTTCTTGAACTCTTTTAGATAAAACTCGCATCGAACGACCTATATACCTCGCTCCGCAAGAGCAGGTGAATTGGTAGATACACATGGAAGTGGTCAAATGCGATAGTTTATCTTTAGAGTAGTTGAAGAACAATGGCCGGGAGGAAAATGTCAGTCGTAGTGTGGCAGCGAAGAATGTCCTTCTTAGAGCAGTAGATATCCTCTTCTTCAAGGTGTCAGCCAGAAGGTCACCTTTGAAGGGTACATTCATGTAGACCATCTTCTTCTGCACTGTAGTGGGTTGTTCTTTGTAAGTCTTAGGCTTAATATGCTTGTCTATAAAACGGGGTGGGTAGCCATTCTCGAGCAGTGTCTTCCTTAAGAGGGCGATCTCTTCCTCTATTGATTCAGGACTGCAGATTTTTCGGATTCTAGTCGCCAGAGATATTATCAAGTTTCGCTTGCGACTAATTGGTACCCAACTGTAGAAGTTTGTCAACTGACCGTTCCATGTAGGTTTTCTGTGTACTGATCTGTTCAACGTACCATCGGTCTTCTTACTTAAACGAACGTCCAGAAAGGAGATTGTCTCTTTGGTTTCTACTTCGATAATTCTCTAATAATCTTAAGCTCCTCATTGAGGCAGTCGTCTGAACAGATTAACCTAGCTCTATGAACCAGACACTTTACCAGGTTACGTTTATATTTCAAAGGCACAAAACTCAAAAAATGAGTGTGTTATTATTATTGCTCCCTTGGATTCCTAGTGGAACATAGGACTTCAACTACACGTCTCCATTTGCTTCTGTCTTCTGCTGTACTTTCTACCTGCATCCATGTTAGTCCATACTCTTTCAGCTCCTCTTCACACGATCTCCTCCATGTCACCCTTACACTGACGTCCCACACGCCGCTCCCCTTTCGGCCTGGTTCCACTCGACCAATGGCCTGACGCGCGATGTCACCCAGTGGTCTCCTCAGCGAGTGACCGATCCATCTCCACTTTCTCCTGCATATTTGTTGGGCGATTGTTTCTTCCTTTGTTTGTTCCCATAGTTCCCATAGTTTATATTTCAAAGGTACAAAACTCAAAAAATGAGTGTACTGACCCTTTATTGTAGGTTTCCTATTGTTATGTACTGCTGCTGAGTGAGTTATTAGTTTTCCCCATCGCCAGTTATGTTATGTACTCGTCGAGTAGGTAATAGTTCTGACGCAGAAAGAGGGAAATCAGAAGACCACCAGGTTTACGATGATACTTGTATTTTCCAGACAAGGAAAATAAATGTCACACAAGTGTGTGAGTGGAATGGTACGAATGTACGAACGTGAGAACAAGAAAAAATATATAAAGTGTACAATACAAAGTATATATGAAAATGGCTAATACACATGAGCCAATAGACAGTCATCTTACCATGATTGGTTGTAATGTCATATGATAACAAGGTCATACACGTTTATTTAGTTAGTGGACAGACAAAAGCATATTGTCAGTTATAATGGAATGTCGATCCATATACACATAGCAAACGAAAATAGATATAGGCAGTTTTTTATTGGCTGTTGGCTAGCTGGCTTTTTATTGGTCTAAAATATAAATTAAAGCGCCAATCTCTTTATTTTTACACGGAAATTTACAGTCAGTAAAATTTCGGGCTTACCTTACCATAATATAATGGCGTGTTAATTTTTTTGGTGTGAGTGTAGTGTGACAGTCACACGCTATTTGGATGCATTGTTGATGTTTTAAGTATGTTGAGATGTATGAGAATGTCCAGAAAGTGAATATAAATCAACAATAATTTTGATGCATTTATTTTAAGTCCAAAATAGGATGTATGCATTTTTTATTACTAGGCGAATATAATTTAACTACAATTTCTAAAAATTTAATGTGTCCTTGATTAGTACATATAGATAAATGTATGTATTAACTAATCTACTTTTTTAAGTCGTCAATTCAATGACATGTGGGATTTGTGCATACTAGGTCAGCATAAATCAAGTAAATTTCCCTTCAAACGGCTGAGAGCGACAGTTTAAAGCGTACCTTGGTTGATTATTTCGTGATGAAAGCAATTTGGAGTCAGTTATAAATTACACCGATCTGTGTCTTATTCATACGTTTTTCACCTGAGGATTTCCGGTTCATAGCATATCCTGAATAACGGTGATTAATACGATTTATCACTTAGACCGCAGCACCACCAAGCTTAAAACAATTCTAAATTTATTCTAACTTATTCCTCGATAATGCCTTTTTATGGTAACTGAAGAACATATTTACCCACTATGTTCTGAAATGACATAGGTCGTGCTTAAAAAGACAGCTGCGTGCTGAATCAAAACTTTCCGCTAAGGAGTAACGCTAGTCCATGCTTAATATGTCCTGTGAGGGCTGGAACAAAGTTGATAAGCAGACCCAGTAGGTTCGATTTAGTGCCACTCATGCTGAAAAATCAGCGCACAGTTTCACTGTCAAACAATGGCAAAACAGTAAGGGAGTTTAATGTTACTATTACTAGCATAGTCTATGTTACTATGTTAGCATAGTATACGTTAATTAGCTCAATGATTGCAGGTTTACAATAATCTTTGACTACCAACATAATAACTGTGAACTTCAGGCTAAAAATAAGCTAAATAGTAGCACCCAGTGACAAAAGCTGACCTACACACTGCAAAATGAGCAAAACATCCAGAAAAACCTTTAAAATTCAATGGAAAACGAATTCACGAAAACATATAACTAGCCGGCGCAGGAACTCATCATGACCTAGAAACTGACTGTAGCCTCTTTCAATATAACCGACTGTCAAAAACAAACACACACATCATGTGACTACATATCACCTATACATATTGCTTCTAGTGTGCCATCTTCTTTCCTTGCCATGAAGACGTCTAGGAATAAGATTCTGTCATTACTTTCTTTCTCTATAGTAAATGTCAGTTTAATTGTTGAGTGCTTTTTAAATTACTTTTAAAGCATGTTCATTCATCTTGCATAATTTAATTATGTTTTCTTTCATTGCATATATTTTTATGTTGTTGTCCTATACAGTGTATTCCTAGAGGTTTGCATCAAACAAACACCTATCCGGGCAAATCTTTAATCCCCTTGGAGACGTATCAAATTCCTCAGCAAAGATTTCTCTGTATGTTCGGTGATGGTGATTCTGTTAACAACGCCTTCAATCAATTATTACCACTGTTGGCTGAACTTGCATTCAAACTATTGAATAGCCTGTTGTGTGTAAATCGTACGTTTTCAGGTGATTCTAGTCTACACGAAAATTGTTTTGTTATCTGTCGTCTGCTTGGACGTGTTTGTTGGCATCTTCCCGGTGATACAGTTCGCAAACATTTCATTCCTGGTGGAAAGCTTACAAAATCCTCTGTGTATTCATTGTTTTACAAGTTCTGTCAATTTGGTCAACAGGAGTCATCTCTAATAAGTGATGTATTCATCGAATGTATGTGTCTTATTCTCAATTGTGAAAGATTACCTGATTGTCCACAAACTGTTAAACCGGATAATTATGGAACCACTCAAAGGTATTATTTATAATAGTTAGATGAAATATTCTATATTTTGAATGTAACCTACTTATAATGCCTGTAGTAGTAACTGTTAGAAGTAATTTACGAATTCGTAAGTTCGCACAGTTTCGCATCCCTCACATATGCCAGTCATCGTCTCTGGCGTAGACGTGATATCCGGCTGGCTATCGACCAAACTTACTTTACTTTACTTTACTTCGGCTATCTCCTACGGGAGGATGAGCCGGCTTCATGAACATCTCGAATCATCGCTGCCCAGGCGCGGCGATCTGATGCAAGGTTTTGCGACAGGGTTATCCAATTCTTGTTCCACAGACGGAGTCCGTTGACGGTTTGTAGCCCCAGGTACTCCATATCAGCCTTGACTGTACCAAGCCATGTTTTCAGCTGTCCACCCCTGCGACATCGCCAAGATGGAAATAGCGAGGGATTTAGAACTGATTTGACCAGATCGTCATCTGGTCGGCTCAGATCATGGCCAAACCACCGAAGGCGACGTTGTTGGACCAGTACTGGAATTTGGTTGATGTTGTAGAGAGTTCATGAAGTTTCATGGGAATTAGGTACGAGTTATGTCCCCAGCATCGCTTGGCCTTTTCTTTGAGAGTGTAGCTCTAGCCTTTACACAACCAAGTGTGACCTACAAGGCAGTAGGAGTGGAGTAGGGAATCCACTATCCACTGGCAACCGGTGACCGGAGTCCGGTTCATACGCCTTTTTGAATGGGTCCAGATATCCAGGGTATCCAATAAGCCCTTTGTCCATACGTCTGCCGGTGAGCTTCATACGCTAGTCGTTGGAGGTTTGGATTCAGGGTTTAGCCATCTCCCTTAGACTATCATCCAATGGACAGTCAACCCAGTGAAGAGCGGCGGGCATCCACTTTTGCCTACTCACTTCGGTGAAAAACACCTCCGCCACGCGAAGGCAGTGTGTAGGACTTCCTCAGGAGAGGCTATGTAAGACGCCCGGTCATATGGGAGCATTTCAAGAGGTGTACGGAGGGGTGGCCAACCCGCAGCGCGAGGCACCCACCCACGACCATCCTGAGGCTTTGGAGGCCTATCGACCTAACGGCAGGTGTACTGCTCATCAGTCCGCTCCGCCCTTTTTTGTGGCCAGCTGTGAGACCTGGCCATTGAGAGTGGAAGACATGAAAAGACTAGCTGTCTTTGATCATAGGTGCCTGCGTTCTATTTCCCGTGTGAAGTGGTATAATAAGGTGAGCAATATTCAGGTTAGGCTTCGGTCGAGTGGTAGGTAGGTGGGAGGGGAAATCAATCGACGAGGCTGTGAAATTACATCGATTGGGTGAGATGGTTAGAACATTTGTTACGTATGCCTAGTCATCGCCTTCCTCGACCGATGGGTAATGTTAGTTGATACAGGATCAGGTTGGAAGAGAGCCAGTGGTGGTCAGACGAAAACATGGCTTCATCGATCAATGGAATCCGCAACAGTTAGTTTAAGCCAGCCAGTCACATAGGAAGCTGTAGACTTCCTGGTTGGGGTCCTCGGGACGGTAAAAACCAATGACGGGCTGGAAACAATTGGTGATATGGCTAAAAATCGTTCCAATGGCTGGCGCCGATGCATCCACTCCTTGTGACTCATAATACCCAGTTGAACTGTATTGTTCTTCGTTATTACTACTCCTTTGTCTCACACCTCTGTTTACTGTCTTTATTATGCATTTCTTTTACTTTCTTTTGTTGCTTTGTGTGCTACATGGAGTGGAGTGTGGCGACTTGAACTGCCTCAAAGTTCTTTGTGGAAAATAGAAAGACAGACAGCTAATTATCATCAATTCAGATGATAAATCTCCATAAGTCAGTGGCGAACCACGAGAGGTTATTTTCCAATGCTTTCAAATGATCAATACGGATTCATACACTATTCGATCGGTCGTGGTTTCCCAGCTCCCTTAGGTGTAGACCTGCATGGTTATGTTCGAATTCACCCTTGACTTTTTTTAAGGAACATCCCAACCATCTAAAAACAGTGAATAGGACTTAACTGGCAGAAGCTGTGAACGCACGGCCATATGAGAGAGCCTTTCTGAGAAGAAGACCAAGGTCTACCCACTCTCGGTCTTGCCAAGTCGGTTTATGGGGAACAAAAACAATATGCGTGTCTGTACTGTTAGTCATTCCCCCTTATTTTTCCCTTAATGCTCGTGCTTTTGTCTGTTTCATTAACTCCACGTTTATATTTTTTTATTTTCTATGCTTGTCCTTTTGATTGAATTCAGTATTGATCTGCATAAATCTAAGAATAAATCATGGCCTTATCCGAATAACTCTGTGGTTAATTATGGTATACAGCAATGCATGAATTCACTATGGCATCTATTACCGAATCACCTGGTGTCGACTGCTCAATCTGTTCTATTCAATCCATCAGATTGTTATTCATGCAATTCAAGTGATCATTCACATGTAAGAGGAGTTGGTGATAACGCCGCTGCTGCCGCTGTTGATGATAACAGGAGAAGGGTGAAATCATCGACTAATGGTCATTATGCCTTATGTGAATTATTCTCTAATTGTATAAATACTCTACTAATTAAAAAATCAGTATCAATTCATTTTTGTTATCCAGCGCATACCTGTAAAGACGGTGTAATTGATTCACATCCGTGTCTTTTGAATATTTTACGTTTGTATTGCGGAATTGTCGGTGAACCGAGTTTTAAGTAAGCATGAACTTTTATGTCTCTATTGATTTGTTGGTTATTTCCAAAGGTTTTTTTTTTTCGTAACACTGTAAAAATTACCCATCTAGACATAGAAATAAGATTGAGTAGTTGAGCGATGAAAGAAATTGTTGATGAAAAAGTCTCTTCACGGGACTTTCTTTTTCCTTCACGTTCCCAGTGGAACATAGGGCGGCTTCAAGCTATTGACTGGAAGTTTCTGTGATAGTGTTTAATTTTACAGGATGGGATTGCTAGCCTCATGGCCAACCTTTCCTCTTTAACAGCATTATTTCTGGCTTGGCGGGGTTATTAAGGAGTGCGTCTGTGGCCGGGGATTGAACACTGGACCTTGTGCATAGTCGGCGAGCGTCCTAACCGCTGTTAGCTGCATTTTCTTCAGCATACTTGTCGGACGGTGTTGGTTTGTTGACAGGCAGAATTTCTTTTGTTGTTAATTTATTTCCGACTGGTGGTCTGATCTTGAATATTAAACGAAGGTAGTTTTTAATGTAAAAGTTTGCAGTAGAATGTTGGCAATGATGACGACGCACTGGCCAATTTTCTAAACCAAATAGAAGCACTGATGATTAGACATTTCAAGGAATTAAAAATATTCAAGAATTGGTTTGTAGGGATTTGATTGATTGGTTACAGGATTTCGTCATGAGCTGACATTGATCAGAGAACTATTGGAAAACCTGGGAGCAGTGGACAGCTGTTACTTGGAGAAGTCGTGACCATTAGGGTACAGCAGGTTGGGTGTGAGGACAAATATTCGTCACGGGCGACATTGGCTAGTGATCGCGTCTAATTGTGAATTGGCAGAAGTCGGAATTCATCGGCCATCGGATAGAGGGTCCCAGTGGCTGTTGAATGTCCTACGACCTCACCTTCTAACTTGAAGGTCCTGGGTTCGAACCCACCTGTTGGATGCATATTGATTAAAAGTTCCAAACTGTGATGAAACAGCAGCTGTTCAGTATTCCATCATGATTTTCAGTAATTCTCCTTAACCGATGTCTCCTCATGATGAAACCTTGATTACTAAATAGCTTTTTTCTACAGTTGCGAAGTTGTATTGTGGTGAGAGCTGGCTGTTAGCCAAAATTGGTGAACAGTAATTTACGTCAATGTTTATGTCCCCGATATTGGTCGTGAGAAAAAAATGAGAACAAAGGCTTTGCGTAGGCGGATACAATTCACGTATAGGTGATCTGACATTCAAGAAACAGCCACAAAGAGATGAAAGGTTAAGTTTCTGTGAGAAACAACCAATCAGAAGACTGTGTTTTTCTGCTAACAATAATCTATAATATGTACATGAAAATCTCTAAATATGTGTTGATTTTCTTAATAAACGATCTGTTTCCTGGACCTTGTTTCCTATTTTTACAGTATAGGAAAATTAATTTCCTAATTTTTTATTTTTTTATATCAAAAGTTATAAAAAAATTGTTTATGATTTTTATTCATTTATTTATTCTCTTCTTTTCTGTTCTATTCATGCCTACCTAGGCCTTGGAAAATCCTTTCACCTAGTTTGAATCCTGAAAAATCCTCATCCCATCAAAACAATGATCTACAAATAAGCATGCACATTAAAAGCGTTAAATATGTATTGAAATCAGTTAAAAAGCTTGTATTATCAGTTCAAAAAGAAAACAATTTAAATGCAAACTCACCTTTTATGAAGAGAGCTATTGAACTGCGTCGTGATGTATACACATTAACTATTCAATTCTTAGCCTGTGTAGCAGCTGACTCCTCAGATTTACGTTTATTCATCCTGAAGTCTTCTGAATTTTCAACATTTTCAACTGAATTATTTACAGATAGTTCATTTGCTGCAGAAGGTATAAATCGTTCAATTACTTCAGCTTTAGAAGTACTCTTCACATGGTTTGCATATACAAAAGTGGAACAAAGTGGCTGTGCTATTCATCCTTTTGATAAATTTTGTCTTGAACAATTAACTGCTTTAATCCGAGATTATGCATTAACTTCAACATTACCATTCTCGCTGTGAGTTGATTTTGTATTTTTCTTTAAACAGTTGTAACTTTGATGTTTCCTATTCCCTAAACAATAGTTCACCCCCACCCCTACCTTCTGTCCTCTCTCTCTCTCATTGCTTTGCATCCCCTCCGGATGGAACATACGGCTTCAAACTTTGGCGATGAAGTTTCTGTCGGTAACGGTAGTGTGTTGTTTACCGGTTATGGGCGCCAACCTCACGTCTAGCCTTACCTCTTTTACCTTACCATCAGGATTACTGTCGGCTTAACGAGGTGAAGAAATGAGTCGACCGAGTCGGGAATTGAACCCTAAATCACATTTGTGTTTTTTCAGGCGAGTATTCTTACGCTTGACTACGGGACGCATCTAGTAGGATTAAAGGGGATATAAATTTTCCAATGGGAAGGTGAATATAAATCACAAATAATGTAGAACTGAAATAATACAGGATTATTAAAATGATTACATAACATGCAATATATATATATATATATCAGTTGATCTGCTCTTTTTGAGCTGAACACATAGGTCGTTTGATACTACCCACTGTGGCTATGAAGAGACAGCAGTGGTTAAATTATAAGCGGTACGATTGAACAACTTGTTAGCATCTATATTAACATTTCAACTGATTCATCGTCGGTCATTTTTATTTACAAAGTGAACAACATTCAATAAAGTGAGTGTGTTTCCAACTTCTTTCTAGTAGAAAAGCCTTTTTCATAAGTATGAAGACGACGGAGGTATATATATAAAGGAAGCTAGTTCAACCTTTTTGTCTAGAGTGAATGAAGTCATTTTACTTCAAAGTGAACTTGGCGGAAAGGGGGAAAGGTTGGGAGGTATGGCCAACAAACCCACTGTGTAAAAAGAATACTAGTTTCTAGAGAAACTTCAAGGTTTGAAGTCCTTTATTCTAGTTGGAGTGCAAAAGAATGAAGGAAACAAACACTGAATACTGTAATTGGTCAGTTTTCTATTACGTCATTCACGTATTTATAACGTTTATTTATTTTATTTTATTTACTTTGCTGTTAGTAACTCCGTTGCCAATTCGTTATGACTGGACTGAACTGAACTGAATAAACCCAGTTCGCTACTTTGCTATGTCTGCGCCTTGTTAATCACTATAGCGGTAATGAATTCGACTGATACGCCAATACGTCTATTTGTCCGTCGTACCTTCCGATTCACTAAGCTATTTAAATATCTAAAGGTAAAGGCTGACCTGTGATTGTCAGATATTGTATTGTACGGCAAGAGTAAACAATAGAAACCAAAGTTAAATGACCTTGGTTTGACCAATCAGATAGCTCAGCATTACAAGTGGTTCCTAGTCATAATCCTCTTTGAAAGTGTCTCCTAGATTTGGTTTTTGACTTCTCTGTGGAAAGTGTGTTGATAGGGGAAGAATAACACATTCATGTGTGGAGGGAAAATAACTCTGGAAAAGTATTGCCGGCTACTGATGGTTATACATGCAATCACTTTATATGAGGAAGTCTGTATAAGTTGGTAAGTTGTACATAACTGGTGATTTTTTAGACACTTTCTTCTCGAAATCAAAGCTCTCTGAGTAATATATTGCGTGTATGCAACCATTATCTGCTACGGCTCAAGAAATAGAGAATACGTTGGTTTGATATTTCTATAACCACTTCTACGAGAATCTGGGACCACCAGTTTTCGCAGCACATTAGAGATATATACCCTATGTGATTCATTTTTATCACATATATCAAAGATACACTTCTTTGTAAATTAAGTACCACTTTTCACCTAGAGGAATCTGACTGGCTGTTTCAAGGTCGTCTGAAGTTGTTGTCTATTCTATACTGTTGCCTATTGTACCATTTAGGAAACAACACACGATGATTATACATTTTCTTTACCATAATCAAGTCAGCTCACAACCGTGAGAATGGATTGTTCCTACAGCCTAGAAATGACAATTCTCATTAGTTAGCGATCTAACAAAGACCAAAGTGTGAGACAAAAGACGATGAACTGATCACACACACTAAATCACAATATGCTAAGGGAAATGATACATTCACATATTAACCTCCAACACAAGATACTACATTACACGATCTATGAGAAAGGATATGATATACTATGTCGTGCTGTTTCCTATCATTAGCTTTGTGTGGATTGAAAATACGTGACACATAAACTACTTCGATTTATATACCCTGGGAGGTTTCAAATTATAAAGACTTTGAATGACAGTGTCTGCATCAGTCAAAAGAGGCTGAGATTTGAAGATTATCCCTCATGTGAAAAAAAAATACATTCCAAGTACATTAAAAAAAACAACTTTAGAAGTTTCGAATATGGCGTGCACAAAGTTCAGATCTTGTGAACAAAATAAGAAGATTCCTGTTTCATTCAGGTTATAAAAACATCTTTTGTTGTACACTTTCTACATCTCAAACCATTAATATTCCTCAGTTTGTGAAAGTGAAGTGGTGTTCATTTTATTTTTGTTCAGAAGAGTTGTAATACTGCGATTTCCATTCTTCTCCTTTCTTTCTTTCTACATGGCCTACCATCTTCAAATGACATTAATTTCGTCAAGTATGTTGACGACCTGACTTGCCTGTCAAATGTCAAAGTGACTGCTCCAAACTAAATGGCTTTTTATCAGAAATCAGCCAGTGGTCCAAGGAAAACGGTCTTACCTTAAGCCCCTCCAAATGCCAAACAGTCAATTTCACCTTTAGACATAAATCTGACCTAAACAAACTGGTTAGGACTCACGAGATGTGCAACATAGATGGCACTGAAGTAGAAACCAAGTCGGGAAATAAATACCTAGGCGTCTCTCTATCTGCTGATCTTTCCTGGTCGTCTCATATCTTGATGATTTCTAAGAAAATATTCCGTCTTACCTTCTACATCAAGAAGTTAAAAAATTGTGGTATAACCCAAACCCTACTCCTACAATTCGTTAATTCTCGCATTCTGCCTATTATTCTCTATTGTTGCCCCTTAGTTTTTCCAGGGCTACTGAAGAAAGACTATACCTTATTACGTAGGACGTTAAAAGTTGTCAGCAGGGTAATCCACAGGGTGCCACTTAACCAGCTTGTTAATATTCTGGTCAACAGGCATTTGGACTCATGTGAAAAATGGGCTAAATGCATTTTATCTAACTCACACCACCCTCTTCATTCACAACTCTCCCCTCTCCATTGTATCTCATCAGGCAAAACCAGAAGCCTATATAGAAAACTATATGTTCGCACTAGTAAGTATAAAAACTCAACCATACCCTACTTAGCTCGTGTTCTGTGCGATAAAGAAAGCATTAGGCGTGATACCTACAAGTTATTAAATAGTCAGTAGAACAACTGAATCTCGTCTTTCCAACTCATATCATTTACAGGTACAACGTTTTCTTTCTTTCTTTTCCTTTTCTCTCTCTCTTTTTTCTGTTATGTGCAGCTTTGTTTCTTTCTTCTGCTTATGTCAGTAAATATGCTAGCATCTACTTTTCTAGCACCTTCAAACACTCTGTTTAATTTTGGCTTTGCTACCGACATGCTAATATATTGTTGTCAAAACTAACTGAGATTACTCTTAATCTATGTAAAAATTTTATTTATTGATAATGTACTAACTGGATGCAATATTGTAGTAAAATGCTGAGAATTCCATTGTGTATCACAAGTACTGTTTTGGAATAAAGCAAATTATTATTATTATTATTCCTTATACTTTCGAATGCTTTTATCTTTTTTTCCCCAATACTTTCGATTAACTATGTATGAGCGTCTATCGATCAATGAACATGTTCAGTGCTCACCAGTTTGCTACATCCCTTCTCCTATGGCTGTAGAAAACGGCTTTTGAAAGTGGAAAACGTGTGAAAAGCTTGGTTAGCTATATTTGAGTATAGGGGTGCCTATGTTCTATCTCCCGTGTGCGTCAGGGGGTATAACAGGGTGAGTAATATTGAGGTAAAGCTTCGATAGGAGGAAGAGTCAATCGATGTGGTTATGAAGGTGAATCGATTGATATAGTTTGGACTTGTGTTACACATGCCCAGACATCGCCTTTCCCGACGGTCAATGTGAGGTCATAAAGACTCAAGTTGGAAAAGAGTTTGGGTGATCAAACCAAAACTTGGGATCAGCCCATGACTTATATTCTCTTATTTATGTTATGACTACTAGTTTCATAATTATTTTGATTTTGATTTTGGCCTTTACTGATCTTCCTAATGAATTTTATAGGATAGTTATTCAACACACAATGCCATTCGTCATTTAGGCCCTTTTTTGTGCTACTTAGTGCCACTGCTCGGTTTGTTAAACACTTAATTAAGCCTGCCTTAACAGTTAACGGATGAGACGAATTAAAGTCTAAATATCTATTAAAATGTGTTGTGAACTTTTCTTATAATACGTATCTAATCATATTCATATCTCTACCGCTATTAACACTCTTTTTTCCCTTTATACGTTTAAGCCATTCCGGCTTCATTGTAAAATGAATAAAGCCTAAATTCTTGGTTCATTCGTCTTTTCAAGATTCAAGCATCACTCATCGTTCTAAGACTCAGTCACCTTCGTAACAATTTATTCATTTTACAATGGATAGGAGTCCTGATAGCCAGGTGCAGTGTAACAGGCAACCAGCAGGCACACCGTAATGAAAGCAGAACACCAACTGCAAAGGAAAGAGTTTATTCAGCGAGAATTGGCTTTTTTTTATAAACACTAGTGTGTAGTTCACCTTCTTCTATTCGTTTTATCTTACAATCTAACATCATGGCTAATTCTTCTTGTTCATTTTCTGATTCAAATGTGAATTTTATTCCCTCTACTTGCGAGTTTATATATGTCAAGAAGCTAGAAATATATTCTGTTTTTAACACTGTGAAAGTGTCATCCATATACCTCCAGCATATTTTTGGAGTAGGATTAAATGTATTAACAGCAGTATTTTCCCAGGTGTCCATAAATATGCCTGCTACGATAGGGGATATTGGTGATCCATTCCATTGCTACACTTTCTGTTTGTCTATATATTTTGCCTTGGAATTTAAAGATAGTAGATGTGAGGTATAACTGAATTCCTGAAATAATTTCTTCAATGGGCAGCTTTGTCCTATGAGTGAGTTCATGATCCGCAATTAGTTATGAACAATAGTTTGTTCTCGAAACGTGGTCATCAGTTAATATTACTGTACAACAATGTGTGATTTATCAAAATAAAATCTTATCTATAATGGTGTATATATTGGTGTTTTTAATTTTTTTTTGTAATAGTGGTCACTTACTTTGAATATTATTATCGTATTATTCTAATTATCATATGTCTTATCATTACTCTTCAGATTTGATCTCGATCACGACATGACTAAAGGACCTCGTGATCTACAAGCCGTCCTTTTAACTGCTATCTGTTCACGTATTAAACTATGTAAACCAATGAAGGTTGAAGAGTCTGAAGTGAATGAAAACACTTCATTACTTCGTGGAATTGAAGACAGTATCATCTCTTGTTCATCGCATACAATGTCATCGATGTCATTTGAATACCTGTTGATTATTTTTAAAATGATATCAAATTATTTATATCATCGTCTTAGATGTCTTGATCATCAATTCTCAACATCATCATCATCATCAAGTGGTGGTAATATTGTCAGTCAACGTGATGTAAATAATAATAATAATACTAATAATTTCGAGGCCTATTTTTTATGCTTATCATCGTATTCCACTGTAATTGATGAAGAGCATGAATTTTATAATAAAAATTCCACTTTATGGTCAACAATGGCTAGTAATCGAATTCGTCAGTTAGGCAGTAGTATAATTCCTGATCAACTACCAGAAAATCCAGCTTCTCTTGCCACATTATACATGAATCGGTTAACCTGTTATTGTTGTTATCTGCCCGGGATATGCTCTGCTGGTAATGCCTATTCACAAATCCTATCTACCTCTCTATATCATGATAAGTGTCTATCCATCATTCTTGGTAATTTGTGTAAAATACTAATTGAAAATTCTACTTCTACGGATAGACAAAAATTGTTGACATATTTTACAAAGCATACAGAATTATTTTTAGCATCACTACGTGTTAGTCATGTACCAGCTTCACTGAGTACAATGATTACATTATCTTGCCTGATTAATGGATGGAAAACACTCAGACGATTAACTGAATTAATTATTAGGCATTTTAAAGCATATAGTATATGTGATTGGGTATTTTATTGTGTACTGACTATTACAACCTACTCTTCTTCGTCTACTTCTACGAATACTACTGCAGAGAATTCAATGCATACAACTAGAATTGTAAAACACTTAATCCATTCATTGTTATCTACATACCCGTTAAATTCATGCTGTCTATTCTTATTATTAAGTTTATTCATTTCAACCGATACAAGTATATTGTGTAACAAAGACTATGCTGACATAATTTTACAAACATTTGTTGATGATACCCAGTGTTTAGCAGTAATGATAGAAAATCAAATTATTGCTTTCCCATCCTCATCCCCCTACTTTAAACTTTCATTGGAATATACAAACAAGCGGCGAAATAGTATCAATTCATCTGAATTAGGTCAAGCTTTGTTAAATCAATCATTATGCTTTAATATACCATGTTATCAACAATCTTCAGCACTGAATTTTCAATGTTTAAATCAATCTCTCCCTATCGGTTTGTCTGGTCCAATTCATGCTTTTAAACAATCATCAATAAAGTGTCTACAGGATATAATTGATTTGAATTATCCATCGAGAAAAGATAAGCAAACATCACATACTATTACTAACACTACTGCCGCCAGTTGTCAGTGTCCAAGCGTGAATAAAACCCTTGTTGGTAAATCTGAGCTCAAAGCATTGGCGACAATTTGTCGTCGAAAAGATTTGCTGGATTTTGCGCCAACAGCTTTAATTTATTCTGATATACTAGATGAACAAATGGCATCATTTTGTCGGACACTATCAGTTATCGATGATTATAACGTTGGTGACTGTGAAAATAATATCATTTACCCAATGTATTTAGGCTATTCTGCGTATAAATCTGCACCGATGACTTGTACTGAATCGGGTGTAATTGAAGAAGAGGATGATCTTAAGAATTCTAACACCACTGCTACTACTAGTACTACTCATGATAATGCTAATAAAAGTAGTAATGATAGTAATACAAATAATGTCGATTTATCAAGTAAACTTCTTGTCGAGAAATTCAGCTTATCCGAATTGACAAGAACAAGTTTCATTTTTCAAAATGATAATGAATGCTTACAAATTGTTGTTCGACTACCGTGTTTAATTCAGTTGGAGTGTGTTTATTTATCAACAAAGAATTCAGCTATATCAGGTAACTATGATTTTCTTATTAGCGCTATTAATAATAATAATAATAATATATTCTCATTTTTGTACATGAGGGACGCAGTTTACAGGCATCATCAATGTGATAATTTACACATACGATTAGTAAGCATATTTAATAATAATAATAATAATTTAATAAAATACATATTTATTCTTACATGTGTAGGACACACCAATTGTACAGGCATGGATAAGTATTATTTAAATTACCGAAAGCTGCTACCGAGCGTGGTGGTCGGGCTTGAACACCGCAATGACCTAATCAAGCTATACTGGCTGAGACTTATGTCTCTTGAGGTTCTACCATGCCAGGCAGGTTGTTTGGATAGCGGTTAAACAAAAAGCAGCTACATCCAATACCATGATCCAAACAAATTCACAAAATTTCATGCCGGATCGGCCGTGGCCCGGATTAACAACGACCGCGCTTCCTGCTGCCGTGTCACAGGGCGGAGTGATAAGTATGCTACTGAGCACACAAACAAAAGAACAACAAAAACAGGCCGCGTGTGACCGGCCTCAAGCAGTTGTCCCCTGGGCTCTGCGGTCACGCAACCAACTTCCACGGTGTGGGCAGCCGGGAAGTAACAATCGCCCTCACAATCCGAAATGCACACAAAACCTCTCTATCTCACTATCTTTGTCTTCATCTTCATCTCTATACTTGCCTTCCCACTGATGCAACTCCTCTACTTGATGGCTCCTCACTCCCTCTTCACTCTGTGTCCACTAAAAACGACAAGCCAAAAAACCACCAGATAGTCTCCTAAAGCCACGCCACCAATTTCATATAGGAGCATTTAATGTTAGGACACTTTGCCAAATAGGACAACAAGCATCACTAGCTAAGACCCTGGCATCGAGCCATTGATGTATGTGTGTTTCAGAAACACGCATACAAGACCCAAGTGTGGTTATTCACCTAACCCCACCTGGCCAACAGGATGAATCTTCAAAATTCACCTTGAGGGTGTCAGGAGATGCCACAGCTAGTTCACGGATTAGCTGGCGTAGGGATAGCTTGAGTACTAGGGCAGAAAAGACATTGCTTGACTGGATCCCGTAGATAGCCGAATGTGTGCTGTCCGTCTGAACGGATCAGTAAGAAGGAGAAAGGACTGCACTACTCGCCGATGCCTTTTCGTAATCTCCGCCTACGCCCCCACTGACTGCAGTTCGGATGAAACGAAGGATGAGTTCTACCAAAAGCTGTCTAGTTTGGTGAGAAAGGCTAAACGCTCAGATATAGTCGTTCTAGCTGGTGACTTAACGCTCAAGTAGGGAAATTGTGTCAATCTGAGAAGGATGTCGGTGGCACCTATGGAGTTCCGTGCCAGCGAACCGACAACGGTGACCGTCTCCTACAGTTCTGTTCAGATAATCATTTGTTTCTTGTAAGCACTAACTTTAAACACAAGGAGAGACACTGTTTAACCTGGCGACCCCCATCATCAAACCAACGCTGGACCAAATAGCACATGCAATAAGCTTCGTTGGCGTGGGTCGGTAGGAGATGTCGCTCCTTCTGAAAGTGTGTAGATACTTATCCATGCCTGTACAGTTGGTATGTCCTGGATAAACAGGAAGAAATAGATATTTACTGATCACGCACTATTCCGCGCTCGGGTGTGCTTACGACTGAACGGGCGTAGGAAACAGCTGGCGGTAAAACCATCACGTCCCCAGCTCGATCAGGAAACTAAATCCCTATTTGAGGAAGAACTAGCTAAACGCATATCTGAGTTCGACAGCTGTGCTCACCCTGAAGAAGCCTGGAAGAATATTCAGGCAGCTATAGATACAGCTGTAAAAGCTGTGAATAAGGTAAACCAAAGGTGAGTAAAAACCATTGGATCTCTACCGCCTCATCCGAACTGATAGATGCTAGAAGACTTATTCCGGCGAGCTCCGAATTCAATGAGGAGCGAAAGCTGCACAAAGGAAACTTACTAAAAGTCTCCGAAAGGACCGTGAACAGTGGTGGCTGACAAAGGCGAAAGACATGGAAAAAGCATCGGCGATAGGCTACACTAGTCAACCTTTAGACTCATCAGGGAAACAGGTGGGAGAAGGCAAATCATATGTGAGACTATTTCTGAGAAAAATGGCTCCTTAATTAGCTCTCAGGATAGACGCCTTGAACGCTGGAAAGAACACTTTGAGGGACAATTTAACTTGCCTACAGCCACACTGAACCTCCCCCCAATCCAGCACACACCCGAATGGGATATAGACACTGGTCCGCCGTCTGTAGTGAGGTCACAAAAGCTATCAGTAATTTGAAACGAGGCAAAGCGGCAGGACCCGATGGAATTATTCCGGAGGTGTTTAAATATGGGGGTGACATACTAGGTTGTAGATTAACTGAGGTACTAGGCAAAGTCTGGGAATCAGAGACAGTACCGTCAGACTGGGGTAAGTCACTTATTATACCGATATTCAAGAAGGGAAACAAGTCCTCGTGTGATAATCATAGAGGAATCAGCCTAACGAACATAGTCTCTAAAATCCTAGGCTCAGTAATCATGCATAGACTAAGCAGAACTCGGGAGGAACAGACGAGGGAAAATCAAGCAGGCTTTAGACCAGGTAGAGATGCATAGATCTATCTTCACTCATGTAGCCGTGTAAGGGCTTATGGGGAATTGTCATCTGAATTGGTAACAACCAGTGGTGTCCGACAGGGATGTCCACTTTCCCCATTTCTGTTTAACTTCATCATAGATATCCTGATGGAAGTATCCTTAACTGAACGTAACGACTTAGGAATCGACTTGTTACCAGGGAATAGTCTTATGGACTTAGAATATGCAGATGACATAGTCCTGTTAGGGGAGGATGATGACAAAATGCAGAGTCTTCTGAACACCTTGAGCAGCAATCTTCGTATGTTTGGGATGCGATTCGCCCCTGCAAAATGTAAGATGCTGCTACAGGACTGGACTACGTCAACTCCTAACTTAGTGATAGGGAGTGAAGTGATAGAACATGTTGACCACTTCACCTATTTGGGAAGTTGTATTAGCACCAACGAACTGATTGGCGATGAAATCTCAGCACGGATCCGAAAAGCTCGAGCTGCTTTCGCTGACTTACACCATCTCTGGCGTAGGCGTGACATCCGGTTATCAACCAAGGGACGTGTGTACTGCTCATCAGTTCGCTCCGTCCTTCTCTATGGCTCTGAAACATGGCCAATACGAGTTGAAGACATGAAAAGGTTGACTGGTTTCGATCATAGATGTCTGGGATCTCTGTCTCACGTTAGGTGGTTTAATAAGGTAAGTAATGTTGACGTTAGGCGTAGAGTGTTGGGCAAAGAGGGAAAATCAATCGACGAGGCTATAAAGTTACATAGACTGAGATGGCTAGGTCACGTGGTGCGCATGCCTAACCACCGCCTCCCCCGACGGGCATTGTTAGCTGATATAGGTTCAGGTTGGAAAAGTGTAAGTGGTGGCCAAACAAAAACATGGCGTCATCAATCCATGAAATCCTTGACAGTTAAACTGAGTCGGTCAGGTAGGGAGATGCAGACTCCCGGGATGGGGCCCTCGGGACTCTAGGAATCAATGGCTGGAGACAATAGGTGACATGGCTCAAAATCGTTGTCAATGGCGCAGATGTATTCAGTCCCTGTAATGTTTCATATTCCTTTCTACCATAACCCATTCTGTTTCACTCTTATACTTGTGAAACTCTATTCATTCTATCCACTCATCTTCTTGTCTACCTCTGTGTGTTATTTGGAACGTGGCAACTCGAACTGGTGCACTTCGGTGCCAAGTTCTATGTTGAACCCAGACAGACAGACAGATTTAAATTACATAAACGTGGTTTATGGTGAAATAACATGGTTGCTGTCGTTTTTATCTTTGGTTTGTGGCCACAATATGATAGTCAGTCATTCAATAGAGCACATCAAAAAATGTAGAAATATTGTCTTCGCATTAACAAAAAAAACCCAAGTATGTGTTGGATGGATTACAAATAATTTGGAAAGAAACATAAAGCTTGAAGTTATTTCCCTCATATAACTTTGATGTGTACGTCATCGAGTCTTATTCTTGATTTATATCCAAATTTGGTAATAGGTCATACACTTGTATTGTTTTGTCATCATTTTCATCGTAACATCTCAAGTGAATTGTATTCAATGTAGACTAATAATAATGATAGTATATACTTTCTTATAAGCGGGTGTTTTCAAGAGATGCAAGCTATTTTTACAGACAGGATCAGTTTGTTATAAATTACAATCGTGAAGTATTATAAATTAGCACTTTTCATTGGTATAAAGGTATATTCCACAACTGTAATCCAGGTTGCGTCGTGGGGGGAATGTAATGCGTAATTCACGAAGGAATTGTAAGATACAGGACCAATAAGGTTTGCAGATCATTTGTCATTGTAAATGGTCAAATATCCACATTCTTCATTCTCATTCAAAAAGTCATATAGAAGCTAAAATGGTGAGAGAGAAAAGAAGAGAAACAACAGCAACACAAAAAAAGCAAGAGGAGTCCTTAAGAATCGATTACTGATTGTATACATATATATTCAGTTTAGTAACTATGGTTATTTTTGCGCGCTAACTAACTAGTCCCGTTATGCTAACTTTTTATGTGTGAACTAATATTACTATCCTGTGTAGAAATGTTTATCATGTAGTTCCAATAATATTAAAATTTATAATTGTAGTTTGTTGTAACTACACGTTTAAAGAACTTAAAATATCTATGTAGGGTGAAAAAGGTGTAAGAGTCAGGCGCAAAAGTGCATTGTCATCTTTGAGCAGTCTGGTGACTGAGGAGATGAACACTGGAAGTGTGTTTGCATCACGCACATTAGCTGGTAGTCTATTCCAAATGACTGAAAACTTATTTTAGAGGAAGTTGTACCGCATGTAAGTCTGACAATGCTCTATAGCAGCTAGGTTGTGATGATTTCTAAGATTGTAACTGATGACAGCGGTAGGTTTAG